GTGGACCGAATCACACACGCACCAGCGCCATTTCTTTGCCTGAGAGCTTTCGCCTCTTGTCAAACTCCATATCCCATTGAGCATACCAATGTTGGCAGCGTTGCACGTTCTTGCCCAGCCACAAGAGCTCCTACCCACAAGAGTTCTCTCTATATATGCTTTACTACTGCCCACGAGGCGATCCATCCAATGACGATATATCTGCCCTCCGCTGGCGAGGCTAGCGCTTAGTGACGAGCGTCGGACGAAATACGGAGGCGCAATTCCCTTCTGAGCAAAACAGTGCAATGGGCAAGAGTCCCAGCTCGTTATTCGTCAAAACAGGATCGCAGCGGTCGCTGAAACCATGACCTTCGAATGCCTCGGTGTGGAGCTGGCGTGCTCGGGTGAGGAAACCGCTAAGGCACAGGCTGTTGGCATCGTGAATTGCTCGCCAGGTTTGCAAGAGCGAAGTCTGGCTGGAAGAGAGGTAATCGTTGCTAGTTGGAGGTCATGTTTGAGCTGTGAAATGCAGTGAAGAGTGACGATGCTGCGATCATGAGGGAACACGGGAGCCCAATCGGCTTTTGCTCTGATGCGACCTCCTGTTCACGGCTGCCGCATGATGCATGGCTGACACCTCGGTAGCGCAGCAGCACGTCCCGGCGCGCAGAGTCAAATTATTTGAAATTTCACATCTTTGTTTGATCAGTAGGTATTTGATTCAAATCTTATCCAAGCTCCCGAGTTGAAAAGGCAAGCGTCAAGGCGGACATATTAAACAAGCTCACGCGTGATCGTAAGCGGTCCAATTGACTCGAGACACAAGACTCCTGATGAGTCTTCTGACTGAACTCACGACTCTTGACTCTGATCCTAGACACCACTTCATCGAGTTCTTGGATGCGCCTAGTATTCCACTCGCTCCGGCTGTCCCAAACAAAGCACACCTAAATGACCGCATCAACTTGCACAGGACTCGGCTTTCAGTGCTTCAAAGGTCGATGCGCACGACCCGTACCCGCTCCAAGCAATTTGTTGCAAGAGGCGTCTCCACCCAGCCGGAGTCGTCCTTCGCGACTTGGCCATACGAGAAATGCGCACGATTCAACAGGTTCGTATTTCGATGGATATGAGCCGACGCAGCGCCTCATCTAACGATGCGTGAAGTACAACTCCGCGGGAAGGGCCTCGAAGCTGTGAACTCGGCTGTACTTGTGAGACATCGCGACGCCGCTTGTAGCTTCACCGAATGAACTAAGCGCTCGCAGCTTGCCTAGCTTGGCGCCCGTGTACAGCGGGCTTCATTGTGATGCTGAGGCGTTTGCACTCCGTCACCATGTACGCGAGCAACGCTGGCGCAAAGGTAGTTCGACATGCGGGAAGCCTAGGAGATGCAAGTTGAGACATAAAAGCTTGACGTGGGGTCGGGCGTTACCCTTTGTCGACGTAGGTCAGCTTGATGCCCCGATTGCCCATTTCGTCGGCAAGAGCTGTCGAACGATAAGAGCGATGACGGCATCAGTGGACCATCACGGAAGAAAGCCTGGCTCAGATGTCAGGCACGTACCCTTTCTCTCCGCTGCGTCCTGCATCACTTCGTAGCGCAAGACCAGATGCTTGAGGTGCTGCCTCTCTGCTTGCTCCTGAAGCTGCTTGGCTCGGGTCGCGATGGCGATTGCCGAGTCTGCAGGCACATCGAGGTTGCGAGTCTTCAATCAACGTAGGGTGGACAAAGCTCGTGTCAGCGCGTTTTGAAGACGAGTTGATGCTCTCCCACCACTCACCTGCTGCTTATTGCCCTTTCGAGACAAGAGTGAGAATCGCATATGGGTACCGTTTGTTGTGTCTGAAGCTCTACTGGACGCCTGCTCTGACTCAGACTTGCCCAAGCCGCCAGCAGTCTGTTGAGGACGGCGGAGGAAGGGAAGGGAATCGTCCAGCATATTTCGCTGTGCAGATCGCGGGGCGCCCGTGGCTGACAAACCTGGGCCTTCCGCCATCATCTTTGCAAGCTCTCTTTCTAGCTCTTCTTCGGCCTCTTGCTCCGCCGTCGCTTCGGTAGAGTCCCCACGGCCAACATCGTCTGCTTCCTCACCCGCTGCGCCCTCGTCAGCCGCGTCGATTGTCTCGTCTGCATCAGCATGTGCTAAAGAATGCTCGGACCCGGACTCGTCATGGAGCCGAGCGGCGGTGGAGTGTGGGCTTGCGGTATCGGCCTCATCATCTGAGCTTTCAGGCTCTTCGGCTTCTGCCTGTAAGCCAGCTTGACCAGCTTGCTGCGTTGTCGCATCGACCACGCTTTGATCCTGAGCTTGAGCTGGCGGCGCGCGCTGCTGTGCGGCGAACATTTGATCGGCGGCCTGTACAGCTTCCTCGTACGATGTCTTGAGCACAAATGTTGGTCGAAGAACTTCCAGAGTGTCTTGAAGCATGAAGTCGATATCCATAGGTAGTGGTCTCTCTTTGCTGAGAACGTACACATTGAAATATACCAAGAAATCGTCCAATCGTCGTTTGAGGCTGCCTCGATCGAAGCAGTGACCGCATGTATCAAGAAGTGCGCATATCAGGCGGATACGGAAGTAGTCGTCGGGGGCATCGATGCGGCACACCTGTCCTGGGAGCGCATGTCCGCCGGGATGTCCGAAAGTTGTCATGGACCAAAGGTGGTCGAAAATGAGATCGGAGCTGACGAGTCGATAGTTGTACATTTCTCCCAGATAGGCGATGGTGGTGACTCGGCGCTGGTTGAGCTTGAAGATGTTCGTCTCCATTCCTACACGAAGCTGCTCACAGACAGTGTCCACGACATGAACGGCAAAGTCGGGATGGTAGGGCTGAAGGTCGTGCACCAATATGGCTAGCAGGTGAAGGTTCGAATACTTGATGCGCCAAGCGCGAGTGAAGCACTCGTGGATCCACTGAACGACTTGCGCATTCTCCCAGTGCAGCTTTCGCAACAACTTCAGTACTTTGTCTAGGGTCTTTTTGGTGAGCATGTCGTATATGAGGTGTCGTACGAAGAGCTCCATCGGCGCGCGCTCCTTTTGCACGACAGCACTCCTGTCTGGTGGGTTGCTTTGAAAGTATGCGTTATCCAGGAGCATGACCTGCTGGTGGTTGAGGTTTGTGGCAGCACGCTTGCGCCGCAAAAGCTCCATCATGCTCTGCATTCTTTGTGAAGTCTGAGGTGTGCGCAGTAGAAAGCGGCCGCAAGTCTCCAGAAAGGTGGCGATGTTCTGGATGTTGTACCCCGAAAAGTCCTCGAGACAGACTCGGAGACAATAAAAGATAGTGTGGATGGGTGCGATCTTGAACTTGGTGAGTTCCCCTATGTAGGTCATGTTCTGGGAATTGAGTGGGAGCAGTGAGCCTCAAGAAGCTTTGCCGAAAACTCTGACCGGTGGCTTACGGCGCAGGAATACTGACCTTGGCTCGTAAGTCTCGCAGATCGATGTTGCGTTTCTTCTGGCAGTATCTGAATTCATCGTTGAGCTGTCAAGAAAATCGATCGTGAGGTCGTGATGTGGTATCAAGCTAACGCCCGTGGCAGCAACTCACCACCGCAACAACACCCTCTGCTACATCCGACATATATGGATCGAGTGTAGCGATGAGCCTGGAGTAGTAAGGGATGAGGTCGTGTCGATTCTTCGGTATGGTGCAGAGCTGCTTGATAAGGCGCTTCCTAGCTCCCTTCGAATTTACGAATGCGAACTCGACCGCGGCCGAATCGATCATCGTTCTATTAGTCATCTCTGGCAATCTGGCCAAGATGGCCGCGAGCTGAGCAGCAGGTCCAGAGGAGAGTGCTTCGTCGGGCGCTTGTTGATCCTTAGAATTGATTGGCCGATCCGCGTTATCAGCTTCGAGGGGGGCTATCGCATCCGATAGAGCTGATGAGCTGAGCACAGGCGAGAGCGCTGCATCTGACGCTTCTGCTACTGGGCTGGTTGCCGGACTGTGCTGCTTGGACATAGCAGGGTCCTCGCCCACGCCAGCTGCCTTGTCTTCTTTAATTCCTGCGACGGCCTTGTCGTGACCCTGACCCTCAGCCTTGTCTTCTGTCGCGTCGGTCCACTGCGAAGTCCTACCAGCAGGCTTTCCCAACAAGCTCACGGGCACCATTTCGAGTAGATCAATCGTTTCCTCGTAAAAACGACGAGAGTCTTCGTCTTCCCAGGGGCTCTTTCCGGTTGCATCTGTGTCCTCTCTTTGGTCTCCAGGCGCCGTGCGAGCATCGAGGTTGATGGCTAGCCCGATGCCTGTGCCAGTGGAAGAGTCTGATAATGCAGGAATTGGAACATCCAGCAAATCTGCTAAACTGCGAAAGGTAAAGTGAAGGCGCAGTCAGTTTGCGAGTCAGGAGAATAGTATCTCCCCGACAGATAGCGACGAACCTCTTGCCCAGCTCATAGAGCTTCTCGAATGACTTGGTCATGCGCTCGTAATTCTGTTGCCGATCCTCGAAGATCTCTCCTGACCGAATGTACGCCTCATGATTCCGTTTGTCTTGCTCTTGCAAGCGCTGCAAAAACATGAGCGTGCGTGAAGCGTCAGCGAAGGACTTCTGCAATCCGGAGCGCAGCAACGCTTACGGCGTGATCCTTGGCTATGTGTTTGACAAGCGTGGCAAAGTAGGTTTCGAATAACTTGCGGAAGCGCTCTCGCCACTCCGGGCTTAGCAGCTGCGTCTCCGTCTCTGTACTCGATGCTGCGTCAGTACCGCCTGATGCTGCGAACGGCTCTGCTGTATCCGGGACTGTGCCGGAGCTACTCGGTGCGGCCGTTCCGATCAAGGTCGATCCAATTCCCTTCAGGAGCGAAATGGCGAGCGGCACATTGGCATGCTCTCTGTCTGTGGAGAACTGAGAATGCAGGGGTGTGAGAGCCAGCTGGGGCTCTCTATCCAGTCCCGCTCATGCACGCACCAGCTCTTTGACAACTCCAAACAGCCAAATCATCCCAGCATCGCTTGTATCCGTGCTCGAGCTACCTCGCAAGACTTGCACCAGCGACAGCTCGGCAGCGGCGCGCAGAAGGACCTTTTGACGCGCAAGACGAGAGCTCTCGTCGCGCTCTCGCGCTTCGGGTAGCTGAGCGGCCAAAGCCGTCTTGTTCGGGGGAGCAAGTTGTGAAGCAAGCAATGCTGATAGGGGTAGCGCGAAAGCATCTGGGGCGAAGCGAGTGTGAAGAGCTGACACGATCTGCCCAGTATGCTCAAAGCTGTCAGCGCAGCTACCCTACCTGACGCGGATCCTGCTGGAACACAACTCACCTCGCTAGCCGCAGCCACATCCTTCTCCTTGCTGCTTCTACCCAGCCCCTCTGGAATAGCCTGCACGATCTCTTCAACGTACTTCTCCACCTTGAGGCTGGTGAGGTCTTTGAGCAGTCCCTCCTTCGCATCAGCTACCAGCCCAGGAGCTCTGAGTCGCTTGATGAAGGCGGTGTTCTTCTTCAAGTTGGAGTCCAAGTTTGGAGCCTCTTGACGGGCTGGCGCTCCCCATAGCGAAGCATTGACCGTACGCAGTTGATGTCGCCTTCTGTCGCGTTCTTGCTTGATGGCAGACGTCGCAACGGGAGCTCTGCCTGCGGCTGCTGCAGTGGTCGGAGCCGGAGTTGGGGTGGACCCCGAGACGCCCGCCTCTGGCTCAGCGACCATTCTCGGAAGAGGCCCAGCGAAGGCTCTTGCTAGAGAGAAGGGCAGTCCATTTGACTGTTCGAGCAGCTATCGACTCATGCGCGGGAAGCTGAGGACAATGAGCAGCGATGATGGACTGGAAGAGGAGACTCACCATCACTGCAGCGTGCGTGGGATGAGGTTGGTCCACGGCGGGCAGCAGGCGTGACCACAAGGCCTACTGCTGCATGCGCTGCCGCTTGGTGATGCATGTCCGCGCGCGCGGGCCTCCACGTTCTGCGAAGAAAAAATGGAACACGAATCAATACCAAGAAAGCATGCAGGCTCTGCACTCACGACTCGTGACTCTCGACTCATCTGAATCCTCAAAAAAGGATCTTCAACTCGTGACAACAGCACGCACTCAAGACTCACGCTTCACCAGCGAGACCCAGTTCCTACGCTCATCATCGAGACGTGATCGAAGTTGTCATAGACTGCCAGCGTGTAGGTCACAGCAATACAGCAGCAGCAACCCCACATCCATTGCCAGGTGCGCCGCATCTCAGAGAGTCTATAGGGCCGAAGCGGCACGAAAGTGTCAGATTTCGAGATTCCACACCACCTCGACCATCGCAGACTGGCACGCGCAGCTGTGTCGCATTCGCATCGAGCACCATGGCCACCTCGCGCTCAGAGCAATCTCTGCTGCTTGCGTCGCTCGTCTCATCTGCGCAATCCGGCCCTTCCTCTTCCAGACCCAATGCTCGACCTCTGGACTCGGCACGACCTCTAGAAATCAGCTGTGGTCTCAATCCCAACGCTGCTGGTAGTGCAGAAGTGGCAAGAGATGGCACAAGAGCTTCTGTGGTCATCGGAGCAGAGGTCAGGGAAGAGGGCGAAGGTGGATGGGAGGTCGCCTGCGATATGTGAGTCGTCACTGTAGCGAGACAGTGACTAAAAGGAAGAACGCGGAGCCTGATATCGCTGAGATTGCTCGCAGATCTTCCAGCGTTGCAAATATCTACCCGCAGTTGGCGTCTACCTTTGAGACGCTTCTAGCCTCCGCACTGCCGGCTGCGCCGTATCTCACCTCACCCGGCCTAGGGCCTCAGTGGTACCTCACCCTGGATGCGCGGTTGCTATCCGCGGATGGCGGGAACGCGTTGGACTGCCTACTGGCCGCATCATGGGCAGCAGTCAATGACGTCAGATTGCCACAGACTAGGCGAATAGGCGCAGCGTCAAGCCGGGTTGCAGGCAAGGGCGTGCCAAGTAGTGGTGAACATCAAAACCTTGCGAGAAGCTTGGCGGATCAAGCTCGAGAAGGTGAAGGCTTGGGAAAGGCTGGCCTATCTGGACTCAAAGGTTTCGTTAGCGGCGCGGACAGGAGCACGGGCGGACCCTCTGGTGCAAAGGACTTTGAGCTTGTAGAAGGAACGGACATGGTCCTGGCTGGAGCACCCCATATGGGCGTGGCCGTCACCCTGGCACTGGTGTGTGATATCGAGTTGACACATCAGCATCTTCCTGAACCGACTGATGCTGCGAGGAGCTCGCCGAAGCTGAAGCTGGTGCTGATACGATGTTTCCCAACCCTTGCCCACCGACACAGCTTCCTCGCGGCCTCCATCTGCTGGATCCGAACTTGCAAGAAGAGATTGCGCTACCACCCCACCTCCGCCTTTGCGTCATTGCCTCGCCCTCGGAAGCAGATCCAAAGAAGCCTGTGATATGGTCAGCAAGGCTCCTGTCGGACCCGCCGGGAAGTGAAGTAGGAGCGAGCGGAAGGGACGCTGCAGCTGGTGCAGCTCCTGCACCTGCTGGGAACAACGTCGCAGGCGCTGCAGCGGATGAATCTCGAGAGCTGCTGGAGGAAGCTTGGGGCGCACCTGATTTGTCTAGGGTGAGAGGAGGCATCAAGGTGAGTCGATGCACCCGCTATGTATGAGCACGTAGGTAGACGCTGACGGGCCCAAGTACATCCGTTGGTCAGCTGGCGGCACTCTACGCATTGCAGCTCCATGAGGCTATGCAGGCACAGGTTGAGCAGAGTGAGACTGAACGATAGCGAGTGGAGCAGGACGCAATTCATTACCTTTGCTCGTAATGCAACACAGCATACACCCTCACGCAGACAAAGGTTGCTTTGGCGTGACCTTTGAAGCCTAAAATGCCGATCAGCCGGCTTGCAATTCGAATGCCTCAATGATTTGGGCCATGCCACGCGGTGAGCGCCTGGACGAGGTTGCCGACAAGGTCGACTGAGCACATCGTCACTGTCACTGGGCCGGGCCTTACTCGTGGGTTGTGACTGAGCACACGCAGGCCGAGAGGTCCCATACGACCTCGTGCGTTGTCAGATCAAAACATGTGATGATCAACACGTAGCACGTTGACACCCCCGAGAGCGCTTCGCTGGATGCCTTTAGCTCGTCGAGGTGTTCGACTGCTCGAGTACTGACCATCGGCTCTGGCTATGCAAGGACCTGCAACAATCACGATTCGTGAGCGAGGCGGCAATCTTGGTCGCAATCGTGTAACAACATCACGATCGAGCTCCTCACGTCTCAAACAACGTGCCTGAGCGCTTGAGCAGCACGTGCACCTGCACGTGCACCTCCACCGCGTGGATCTGAGCCAACTCAGCAAGTTGAAGGCGAATCTCGAATTGTGATTGATGAACCTGAACCTGGACCTGAACCGAGATCGAAGATTTCGACCCGTGTAGCAGCATAGCTTTTGTGCTTCATGCGTGAATAAAGTGTCTGAATCAAGAATTAGATTCACGATTCGCTCGATCATCATCGAGGGCGTTCAAGATTTTAGCGTGGGCGCAACATTAGACTCTTTCGGCACGCATGTATGACTCCGAACAAGGTTCATCATCATGCAGCGCGACTCCTGAGGCTTTGTCCTGGGCGCTGTACCCGCGCCGTTGCTGCATGCAGCGAACCGCCGGATCCTGCTTCAGCTTTGCCCGCCACGGTGAAGCGGAGCCGGTAAAGAAGCCGATCTGCTCAACCTTCTCCCTCGAGCATCACCTCTCAGTGTGTGGCATAAGGACGATGCTGACCATCGCAGCCTCGCAACGTGACAATTGTAGCTGCTTAAAGCTTCGTTGACAGCCAGCAATCGTGATGGATGTGAGTTCTTCGAGGGCCTTGAGCTTTCTCCGCGAATCTGTGAGTTTTGGCGCGGCTGTATATGGTTCGTGGGCGTTCGAGCTTGGTCGGATGTGCTTTCGCGGGTACCGTACCTGCATAACACAGCGGGTTTACGCCTTTCGGCAGCCTTGCCGAGTCCGACACCTAGCCCGAAGTAAGTCTTCAAGTGCTATTATTACTGCTACTAAAGCAGTTCGACTACTCCACATCCATGCTTATGATCATGATAACTTGCGCTGGCTTCGACCGAACCTTCCTCTGGGCTGAGAAGATGCATAATTAAATTGGAGGTGAAAGGGAAGCATGCAGCTACTACTACTACTGATGAGTCGTGGCTTGCTCTCATACTTCAGCTTTGCCCGGCTCCGCGGACGCCATGACCATGCATGCAGCGACAGTGCTCGCTGCAATCACGTTCCAAAGGCAATCGCTGGCCGATGCATCAAAGCTGAGGCTGCGAATGACGCGAAAACCCATCATTTCTCTAAGCCGCCGCCTTCGGTCAAACCGTCCTAGCAGCATCTCTCATCGGCACACCACTTTGCATCTCAGCAGCCGACCATTGACGTGTCATAGAGCGCAAGTGCACTCGATAAGTATGAAGGTCCATGCAAGAACCATGTCGGTAGCCAAGAACATCTTCGGCAGGTGCAGGCTAGTGTACCCATCTGACGCCCAAGTCAGCCACGGCAGCCAGCAGCAGTAGTGTAGGTGAGATGTGGTATGCAACCTAAGCTATACCCACGCTTTCGATTGTCTTCGTCAGCTCTTGACTCACCACTGCCCGAGTGCCATGCATCAACCCTAGCAAATGCAATTATTCTTGACCAAATACTTGGGGCTGGCCCAGCTGAGCAGTTGCGAATGACAGCAGTCGTGAATGCTGTGACACGCAGAATCACTTGTCTGCACTAGCTGGACCCGGTTCAGCACTCTAGCTGACTCCACATGTGTGATTGGCATCTTTCTTGAAGCGGACTCAATCTCGGCACTACGTTTACGTGGTCAGAATTCGCATGAACAGCAGCAGGAGCATGCGCTCGAGGATGTAAAGTACAAATAGTGAGCCTCTCCATCGCTATGGCATTCTGCTCCCCCAAGAATCACACTTTTCTGACCTTCCGATTCATCCCCACTACAAATCCTTGCCCATCATGTTCTCTAAGACCAGCACTGTCGCTCTTGTCTCCGCCGCCGTCCTGGCCGCATCCGCTCCCGCTGTCGTCGATGCCAGCGCCAAGCGAGGAGTCGCCTGGCCCTACTTCTCCAACGTGGCTCCCAGCACCGCGTTCGGCGGAGCCGTCGCCTGGCTGTACGACTACGAGACCTACCTTCCTCCCCCCGATGGCTCTAGCTTTGCTGGCAAGGAGTTCATCTGCATGCAAGGCAAGCGAGGAACCGGAGCTCAAGACTCTTCTCCCATCACCCAGCTCGCCTCTCGCTGCGCCAACCAAGGCTCTTACGTCATGGGCTTCAACGAGCCTGACCAGCCCGAATCCGTTGGTGGATCTGCCATCTCTCCTCAGGATGCTGCAGGTCTCTGGCAGCAGTACATCCAGCCCTTGAAGAACCAAGGCAAGAAGCTCGTCGCACCCTCAGTCTCCGCTGCTCAGGGAGCCAACCTGGGTGAAGCATGGCTCGACGCCTTCGTCGCTGCTTGCCAGGGCTGCACCTTCGACGCTTACGGGTGAGTCAAAAGACGATCATCGGCTTTCCCACCTCGCTTTCAATCATCCACTCACATTTCGGCTCTGCTTGCCTTCCCACAGCTTCCACCCTTACGGCCCCAACGACGGCATCATCCGTCAACAAGTCGACGGCTTCACCTCCAAGTACCACCCAGTCTGGATCGACGAGTTCGGCCAGGACCAGAATGCCAACCAAGCCGGTCCTGACTTCTTCAACGCCGTCATTGGCTACCTCGAGGGCAACGGCAACGTCGAGAGGTACGCCACTCTGACTCGCTACAACCCCAACGGTGCGGACCCCAAGGACCTCCTCAACCCAGACGGAAGCAGGACCCAGCTCGGAGACATTTACAACAGCTAGAAGAGTCCCTGCTTGATGCTAGCATATCGCATCCAAGACGCCACGTACCTTAATACGGACCCTACCTATCGCTCCACGCCTTAATCCACGCTTCCCATTTGAATTAATCTCGAATTGTGATGCACTTGATGTCAATTAGTGACTGATTGTCAAAGCAAGTAAACACGTTTCTGTGAATGTGCTGTGCGCTTGTCTAGAACCACGCCCCTGTGCCTGTGCGCTCGATGATTTTGGTTGCAGTCACTTTGTCTAACTTCAATCCGACCAGCTCCATGCTGCTCAGCAGATGCCGATGTTCAGTACGGCTTGGGACCGCGTCCTCGGCCACCACCGCCTCCTCTGCGTGGCCCCCCTCCACCGATTCCTCGCTGAGCGCCCGAGCCGCGTCCTGAACTGGAATCGCTGCTCGGAAGCCCATTGGCGCCCTGATTTCGTCCGGAGCCTCCATGCGCTCCTCCTCTACCTCCACGTCCAGCACCGCCACCACGGCTGCCTCCCGCTCCTCCTTGTTGCTGCTTGTCGTCCCTCTGGATGTTGAGCATATGAGAGAATGGCTGTGGGTGACGCGTAGCCGGGCAAGTAATTCAGCGTCGAGCAATCGTAGATTGTGGGCGCGAGAACAGCACGAGTCCAGACGACGTCACTTACCTTGAGGTTCATCATGCCCACAGCTTTGGGAGTGATGCCCGGCAGGCTTCCACTGGCCTCGGCAAACCTCAGGCCTTGAATGGCGTATTCGTTCATGCGAACAACCAATTCCTTGGAGTCCCATCCTATCCACTTCTTTTCTCCGTTGAGATAGCCCATGAGCTGACAGACCGAAAAAGCAAACGGGCGAGTCTGGTCAGCGTCTTGATCTTTGCGCGATCGTCACTTCGGATGATAACCTACAGCTCTGTACGTCGCGGCCTTTTCGTCGTCCCCGACCTGGCCGATAGCAGCATTATAGACCTGTCTTGCATAGCCGAGCGCATCTTCGAATGCAGCATCCCTGTCAACCTTTGTGACGGGCAGCTCCTTGAAAGCTGCTTTTTGTACAAACTTTCCCTCAAAGTCGTTGAGCACCAGCATTCCGCTTCCCCCAGCGCCTGCTCTGCCGGTCCTGCCTACTCTGTGGATGTATTGGTCCACTTCGCTCGGCGCACCCAATTGGAGCACCCTGCCGTGCGTGCACGCAGAAGCATGACACCATGGTCAGTCAGTCGGCAAGGTTTAGCATCTCCTTCCAGAATCCAATACAAATACTCACAAGCTTACGCCGGGGAAGTCCACTCCTCTAGCAGCAACGTCGGAGCTGAGCAGCACCCCGCTTTTGCCAGCGGCGAAATTGTTGGTGTTTCTAACGCGAGCGCCTTGTGACATTCTGCTGTGAATGGCGCAGACCTCGAAGTTCTTGCCTCCTGCTTGCGCGATAGCCTCCTTGTAAGGCCGAGTCTCGAAGACATCGTGCGCCAAGGAAGCGGAGCGGGCGGTCTGGAAAAAGAGAATGGGCTTGCTTTCCGGTCCGTTGACTTTGATATCTTGCAGTACGTAGTGCAAAGCCATGACCAGCTGGTCTGCCAAAGGTGCAAGGACATACTCTAAGAGCGACGGAACGCACCTGATGTCAGGTTCGCGCTCAGCTGCGATCCCTGAAACAGCGCGCACTCACGCTGCTTGATGTGCTTGTGCACGTTGGCCTCTTCTTCGCTGAGGCAATTGATAAACGCGGCATCTTGAGCTAATCTGGCTGTCTCCTTCAGACCCTTAGGGACCGTGGCACTGAAGAGTAGCGTTTGTCTGCCCTGGGACCTAGTGGGCAAGAAGGTTTGGATCTGTTCCAGCACTGGTCGGAAGCCCATGTCGAACATGCGGTCAGCTTCATCTGCCACCAGAATCTGCAGCTTGGAGACGGAAGGTGCCAAATTGGATGTTTGCAAATGATCCATCAACTGCGTCGACAGTTCCAAACATGATGTCAGCTTGCGGCGACGATGTGCCAGGACCAACACATTCACTGCAGCAACTCACTCTTCCTGGTGTCGCTATCAAAATGTCCTTGCGTTGACGCTGTAGCAGCTGGCGCTCGGTATTGATCTTCCATCGAAGCCGGTCGAGGATGTCAGCTGGCCCACAATGGTGCTTCTAAGCTGCGTCTTGGACGCTGCACTCACGTTCGAGCCTCCAATGACGCATTGCGAGCCCAGCACTCCTCGTAAGCCCGGTAGCAGCATTTCCGCCTCTCTCTGCGAAAGCACGGCATGTCTGTCAGCTTGGCGTTTGCAAGGTCTGGGACCAGTCCGCAGACGACACCACTGACCTGAATCTGCAGCGCCAATTCTCTGGTAGGACTGAGCACTAACAACCTGACGTGTTGCCCGTTGCTTGGTGGCCCGCTCAAAAGTCTCTGCAAGCTGGGCAAAAGATATGCGATAGTCTTTCCCGTGCCTGTCTTTGCCTGCACCAAGACATCTTTTCCAGAGAGCGCAGGGTCGAGAGAAGCGCTCTGCACGTCCGACATGCTCTCGAAAGGGATGAAAGAGAGGATTCGCTCATCGACGCGGTCAGAAAGGGATGCGAAGGAAGACGTGGCGAGATGAGAGGCCATTGATGAGCCCGGTAGAGGTGCGCGCGGCGCTGCTTGTGTGGAGAAGTCGTGCGCTCTTTCCAGCTTGAACTCTGCGCCATTTGATGCGGACCGTCGATGTCCGTTCGGTTGTCTGTTTCCTGCGCCCCCTCCGCCGCGCCCTCTGCGGCCCCTGCCTCTTGTTTCTGTGCCGGACATGACCGGAAGTGTGGCAAAGTGATTTTTGAGGACAGGGCGGCTGCGTGTGAGACTTTCGATGGCAGGCAATGGAGGAAAGAGGCGGCGCACAGTTGTTGTCGCAGCACGGAGGTGAAAGACCATAGGAAGGTGCGTTGGGATTGCTTAGGGTCGCGATGATAGGGTCAATCTTGTGAGCTCTGCAAGATGGCTAGGCAGGCTTGTGAGTAGATGCACCGTCCATGTGAGCGTGATCGATCGTGATGTACGGGAAGTATGAAGGTTACGTGCACCTTGATGGGAAAGGTGTATGAGGTTGTAAGTGCCAGCTGGATAAAAGCCAGCCGAACTTCCGAAATTTTTGATCACGTGTCGCAACAGCAATCTTGAATGTGAAATGGCTCAAGTCGAGAACATTTTCTATGACTGAGCATGCTGTGCATCCCGCTCCTTTACGCAGTGCTCAGGTTTCAGATTCCCACGTCCGTGCCTGACGATCAACGCGGGCGACGCGTCGCGAATTTTTACGGTAAGCGCGCGTCCGCGCATGCCGTCGTTCGCAAGGCTTATCCGCGAGCGAACAGCTCAGCCTGAAGGAGTCACAGTCAATATTCAACATATGCTGCATGGCTGCATCCAGACATGTCTGTCTATATGCACAAATGTCGTGATCAGCCCCTTGTGCACCTCTCCTTGCTCTCTCCGACAACCAGCCCAGGCTGAGCACGGTCGTCTATTCCTGGGCAGGTGCGAACGTGTGCACACCAAGGCGCCATTGCCAGTACTCTGACTGCGTCTTGGCCGGAATGGTACGATTCTGGCTGCTGGTGCGGTGCTTGGTTCCACCGATGAGCGCGCGGCGAGTCGCGCCCTCGATTGACAGCATGCAACCAAACAAGACGTCGATGAGCGGCGCGCAACAACCTGATCCTGGTCAAATCGTGAATCTGGCGTAGCAACAATCAGTGAATCGTGAATAGTAATCAAGAGTTGAGTATAGTGGTACCGGTACATGGACGACTTGATCAATCGCTGACAAAGCAGGGGGGACCCGCGCGTGCAGCAGCCAAAGTCACGAGTCGTGACTCCACGCCAATGCGAGACTCGCTGATAAGCCAGCAAATCGAGCTGAGCAATCTTGAATCAAGCTGCATGGATCGCAGCCCTTGTTCTGAGCAACACCGAGCCCCGCATCGTCGATAACAGCTCGGGGCGTGCTCGGAGTCCGCATGCTCTGGGCCGTCTGAAGTGAGGATTGATGGTCGAAGAAGGAAACGCTGTGAATCTCGAATGGTGAGCAAGACCCGTGCTTTGCGTTCTTCGTGGTGGGCAACAAACAGTGTGAGCAGTGGAGGGGTTTATCGCATGCAAGCCCTGGGGGCCGCATGTGCTGAACAATCGGTCCGAACCAGTTGCGTTACTGAGCACGCGCTCCCTCGCTCGCTCGCTCGCTCGCTCGCTCGGGACTTTTATGCGCTCGATCACCCTTCGCGCGGCATTATGCAATCTGTGCATATCCAAAGCTTAGCTCCGCCTCTCTGCGACGCTCACGCTCACGCCCACACTCACACTCACGATGTACTTGCAATTGGACCCTCGAAGCGGAAACCGAACGGGGTCCGTTCCCTCACTCGTGACGCCTCTTCGGCAGCAGCAGCTCCATCGGATTCAGATCAGCGCTGCACAACGCATCAGCTGCAAGCCTCATCTCTCTTGGAAGAGTTCAATTTGCAAGCTTGCTGCGCTGCTTCAGGCACCTTGCCTGCTGTGCTCGTATGGCGAATTGCAATGCTCCACGTACAATGAGCAGCAGCAGCAGCAGCAGACGCAAGCTTTCCTAAGCGTAAGCGGATTTCGAAGCTTGCACTCTGCCGCCTGCAACATCGAGGCGGGTGCAGCAACCGAGGAATCTGAACAATCACGAATCTCCTTTGCCATTCACGATCGTGTGCCGGAATGGTAATCCCACGGCTCAGCCATCTTCGACTGGATCGAGTTTGATCAGACATGCTAGTCGTGTCAGCTGATCGGTCGTCGCCCCCATCCAGCTTACATCAGTCGTAATCATTCTCTACGCTGCGTCCCCCATCCGTGCGCAGCATCTGATGTACGTATAAATCTTCCGCGACTCTGGTCGTCCCCGCAATTCCCATCCCCCCTCACCTCAATTCCACCACGCTCGCTCTCGAGTCTGATCTATTGGATCACTGCCAGAGCATGGCTCAACTTCACCGCCACGATACACACGCACATCAACCAGACATGTTGGCAGCGACCGCTTATCCTGTGCCCAGCAGCTCTCGGCTCGGGCTCGTATCCACCGATGGCAGCGCAATGCGGCATGAATCGGCCTCATCGTCAGGCTGGTCGAGCCCTATGTTCAAGGCTTCCGACCTGGACCTCTTCGACGTCGACACTCGGTTCGGTCGCGAGCTCAGCATTGACGAGACGATCGAGATCGATGATGCCGACGGTCGGTTCGATGCCCGCTTAGATGGTCAGATGACACCTCCTTCGACAGCCCCCCCTAGTGCCTACTCAGCCTCGTGCTTTGGCGTTGGCAACAAGCATGCTACGCTGGCTCCTCCTCGACATCACGGGCATCGCGTACCTGCTGCTGCTCACTATGCAAAGTCGGACGCTCTAGTTGGAGCAGCTGCAAGCTCGAGATACCACGCAATTTCCGTGGTCGATCACGCAGGAGTCGATGCTGCCGACGAATCGCCAAACTCCCCAGACGAGTCCTCTCCGCTCTCGTCCGCCTCAAATTCAGATCTGGAGGGCGAGAACTCGGAGGATGAGCTGGGCATAGATCTTCCTGCCGCGACGCAGCACGCACAAAGCGTTCTTTTAGCGGAGGCAAAGGCTCTAATGGAAGCTGCCTCAAGGCTCCAGACTCAGCCAAGCGAATTCGAAAAAGCCATCAAAACGGTCGTGAACTGCGTTGCTGGAGGAGGCAAGATTGTCTGGACAGGCGTGGGCAAGAGTGGTGAGTGTTTCTCAGCTGTGGCCGGCTATTGGCACAAGGGCGACGAGCCCTTCGTGTGCCGTGGCGGGCGTTTACTGACACGTTCTGCTGCCCTCATCACCACAGGCATCATCGCGCGCAAGCTGCATGCCTCTTCACTTTCTCTTGGACTATCCTCTGCCTGGCTTTGCCCAATCTCTGCTCTGCACGGAGACTTGGGAACCTTAAGCGGACATTGGCCACAAGCACCCAGGCCGCCACTTTTACGGGCTAGAATGGCAGAACACAGGGCGCCACTGGCCCCTGTGCCAGACGTTCTCTGCGCGCTTTCGCATTCCGGAGAATCTGCCGAACTTTTGAACCTCTTGCCTCATGCTCAGGCTAGAGGCTGCCCCATCGTTGCCTTTACCAGCAAGAACGAGAGCAGCCTCGCGAAGGCGGCCAAGATCACACGGGGCGCCTGGGTGGACTGCAGGACTGCTAGTCCAATGGTCAATGCCGGTACAAATTCGACAGCAGCTTTGGAATTCCCCTCGCAAACCACTGGAAGCCACGCCACCACTGCTTGTGCGCGGTCCGATTCCACCCACTGCGCATGTTGTCCAAATGGCTCTTACGACGCGAGTACGAGCCCCATCAACACTTCAGCAGAAGCCGACGCACTAGTGCCCGCGCCGACATCCAGCACAACAGTCGCCCTGGCAATGGGAGACTCGCTCGTTCTGAGTGTCGCTCGAGCATGTGGGTTGGGTGTGCAGAGCTTCAAACAAAACCATCCCGGCGGATCTCTGGGTGCGCGTTTGGTTCACGCTTAGCACAGCAAAGCACGGCGCCGCCTCAGTTTTTCAGAGCCAGGCCAAACCCCTTCTTCTTCACCACCCTCACGACGTCCTCCTTGGCTATTGGATATCACTAGCACTTTCCTCACCTTTCACATGGTCACCCTGAACTCGCTCTCTTTCGCATCACATAGATCTTCGACTCTGCGAGTTTGAATTGCATATATCCTTGGAGAAGATGATCTGTTTTGACGAGTGTCTGAATGTGCTCGGCATGCAGCGTGCTCCATCATGCCTGCTTCCCGTCTGTTTTTGCGACCCCGCGTCCGCGTGGACCTTGCGTTGTTGAAGTGGTCATCACGGAAATCCGAGGCATTGCGTTCGAACACGTGCCAAACTTGTGCCTTGGCGAACAAGCGAGTTGTGAGACGTGTTGGCATAGTCGACACATTGGCTGACGAAACCATTAGGGATCCGTGAGACCGACGAGGAAGCAGCAGGGTTGCCTCGCCCCCCTTGAGAGTAATTCGGTCAGCTGGCGATTCTGTCACGCAGCCCAAATATCGCAGGAAAGCGCTTGTGTGTCGATGGCGAGGATAAAGAAGGCCCAGGCTCGTTCAGAATACAAATCCAGAGGCGATGTTTTGGCTGCAGTGTGGTCCGCACCCATGTCCTCCTCTCTAGAATCGCTGAAGACTGATCACGTAATAATACACGGACGGCCAGTTGATAATCGAATTGAATCGTCCGGGCCTCCACAGTGCGAAGTCGAGGGTGTTCCGTCCAAGGAAGGACGTCGGGGAGGTAAAAGATCTTCCGAATCGATTAAGAGGTCGGAGTCTTGGGTATTCAGTATCACCGCGGCAGAAGCTTGCTCATTGCGCTCAAGATTATCGAGATCCATCCTTGTGCTGTTAGAGCAAGTGTCGACTGCTACCTCCGCCCCCAGTGCTGATCATATTGCCTCCATATCCGCCTCCCATTCCCGGCGAAGGAGTGCTGGCGAATGGCATGCCAGGCTGACCCTGGTATCGAGGTGCGGTGCCAGGTGATGGTGGGCCCATAGGTCGAGGGGGTCCACCTTTGAGACCAGGACTTCGAGGTCCAGCTCGAGGATCCGTCTGCAGAAAGGAAGTGGGCTGGTTCGTCGATCGTGGACCAGCACCGTCGTAGCCGTTCGAGTATCCGTTCGAGTAGTCGTTCGGTTGCTGCCCATTGTTCCCGCCTGAGGGTCTTCGCGCTCCTACTTGCAAAGTCGCACCTGGCGGACCCTGCGTGAAGCCGTTGAACCCCGCAGGCGCAGATTGAGGCATGCCGCTAGCTTGGTACTGCGACCGATCAGCACCCAGTGGATCGCTGCTCGGCCCTCTGCCCGCGCCAAAATTGTCGGCCGCAGCGCTGCGCAAGGTAGCCCGCTCGTTGAGTCCATTGTTGCCATACATGCTCGGCGAGCGGTTCGCATTGTAAGCTTGACTCCTTCGACGGTGGTCCCCTCGGCCCACACTGTCCACTCTGCGTAAGCTTCCGCCGCCACCTTCGCCCAAGTTGCTGGGGTATCGGCTGATTCTTTTGGACGCGCGATTCCTACCGGGACTTGTAGGGCCGTCGCCTTCGTTCCCCATGTACATGCTCTTCCTGATCTGCCCTGGCCCGACGGAATCGATGGCCCCAACGCCCTGTCTAGCGTATCGTGATCTCCTTCTGTTTTGGTCTGAAGCTGGCGGAGGTCCTCGAGGCGCCGCTCTCATTTGGTGCTGTGGGCCGCCTGGGCCTTGCATTCCGTACGCTGACGCCGAGTGATTGAAGACCTGACCCGGCTTGAAACCACCACCATCCGGAGGTGCACTTCCATTTGACAAGGGTGGGTGTTGCCCGCTCGCACCTCCCATCGGTCGACGAGCCACTGCGGAAGGGCCTGGTAGCCTCACTCCGGAGCTCTCTCCACGAGCATGCCCACCTCGCGCAGAACTTGATGCATTCCTGCCATGGTTGGCCATCGATGGGCCATTCGAGAAGTAGTCCTCTCTTCCACTGCCACCAGGAGAGCCGTATCCTTGCCCACCTGCTCCCATCGGGCTAGCTGCCATCAACAAACTTGTTCTAGCACCATACTCTTGACCAGGCGTAGGCAATGCGAGATTGGTCTGGGCCTTTGTAGCCGCGGAAGAGCCTGGTTGTCGTGCCCCATAGCCGGCAGCGCTTGGTTGATAGAGCCCGGACGTGGCGTAGTACGGCTGCGCTTCTTTGCTTGGCTTGTTGAAGATCTTGCACATCCACCCAATGGCCACCAAAAGCAGAAAGACCACCGCGAAGGTCCCGAGCACGGTGACGACCTCCGAAGGCTTGAGCCCAGAGCTGTCTTTCCTCCCACTAGTTGCGACGCCGAATGCTCTTCGACTATGTCAGGGTCAGGGAAGCCAAGATGAGCGAACCACGAGTTTGGCACAGAGAAAGGCTGTCCCACTCACGTCAAAGTGGCGGCGTCTGGTGTTGTCGCAGACATTGTACAAGCTCCGTTGTTGCAGGTGGCAGCTCGGCTGTGGGCAGAAAGCGAAGGTAAGTGCGACTGAGTTGCGACTAGCTCTCCAGAATGGCAATGATGCGCCGAGGTGAAAGCGTGGAGTGTGACACTGAATATGAGAGGATCTTGGCCCACTGCTACCGAAGATGCCGAGCTCCATGGGCATTCGGATCAAGCCCACGTCCAATCATGGCCCTCCTAAACTGGCAACCGAGCTCACCTTGTATGTGCGCACTGACCGCTCGCCAGTGGAATTTGGCGCGAAATGAGACTTGCCTAGTCTCCAGACCACCGAGTGAAGGATCGCGCTCAAACACAAGGTATGCCCACCGAGGCGCTTTGAAGAAGCAGTGATCAAGGGGTAGAAGTCTGGACGAGCCGCTCAAGCTCCGCAATCCTCTATTCCCTTGTGAGTTGGAAGCGCTGGTGGGCGGGGTCGATTAGTTGAGCCACGAGAGGTGCGGGGGTCGGCGAGAGGCGTCGTTAATTGCTCGGTAGAATTCCGGGTGCTGTTGTATTATGCCGAAATTAAATTCATTCACCTACGCCTCGCGTCGATTGACAACACGCCAGAGATTGGCAGCTATTTCGTCAACATGAAGCTCCGGGTGCGGAGCGAGATGCAAGCGAAATAAGTGACCCTGCCGGGCGATCACGAACGCTGATGTTGATGAAGAGAGAAGCGGGACACTTTCGGGGCGATCCTTCCTGCGAGACGGCTAGCTCGACGACTGGAAAGGAAGAGGAGCGAGCGACCTGGTCACTCGTTGTGCTTCAACTTTCGAGGTGGTGTAGGGACAGAGTCGCTGGTCGTGTGTTGAGAGGAGCACTTGGTGTGACAAGTCGTGAGTGGTGAATGAGAGAGAATGGTGTACATTCAGGGTACAAGCCTCGCGGTTCCGCGATCAACAATCAGAAGCAGCAGCGCTCGCAGGAGGATGCTGGTAACCCAGCAAAGGCACAGGAGGTGCTACTGCTGCTGCTGCTGTTGCTGCTTGCTGCTAATCTGGGCCGGCTCTGCTGTGGCGGGGTGCGGGTGATGTTGCGTTGTGCGGTGCGGTGCGATGCGGTGCGGTACCGGTGCAAACTCACGGCCTACGGGCTACGGCACGAGCTGTGCTTGCTGACTTTGAAATCTCCCCGTTTCAGCATCGAGAAGCGCGCGACAGCGAGCGGGGAGGCATCAGCTGCATGCATGGAGCAAGCAGCAGCTAGGAGGCACGACAAGACACGGCAGCTACGCGCCATCAGCTGTAGCATGCATGTACTACTGTACTCTGCTTGCGTCTCACGCGGCTCACTTGTGACTGTGACTATTATTTGATGTGCCCTGCTGTGCGGACGGTGCACATCATTTCACCTCTTACACGTACGTACCGTATGTACAGTGCCCACCGCTACAGTAGGCACTCCCTCTTGGATGCATATGCCCTTGCACTTCTTGCATGTGATGCCGTCGTGACGAACAACGCAGCCATCGCGCACCAGCGGCCAGTTTGGGACAAATAATGCCGTCAATCATGAATCATCAGTCGTGAATCTCAGTGCCGCAGGCAAGAACGCGGATGCTTGCCCATCGCTGCACTCAAAACAGCAAGCACTAGGCAGTCTGACGTCTGCTCTCCTGAGGGCCGATTGGTTGCTCATTGGGTTCTGTACAGCAGTTCACGAGTAGGTGGTGCTCGACAGGAGCATCCCAACGACGCACAGCCCCAATCCCTCCTGCCGAGCCTCTCATCACGACAGATGAACTCGTGTCTGCCACGGTACCTGATTGACGTGGTATTGCAAACGTTCACGCAGCTCTCTCGTTTAATCTCAAGACGTCTTAAGTCATTTTATTTGTCGTCTATTCACGCTTCTCCATATACAAAAGGCAGATTTACACACGAAGCTTCCAGCGCGCAAAGTTGCATGGTTATGCATGAACCTGCCGCGAGTCATGAGTCACACCAAGGTCGTTTCGTCCCAAGGCTCTTCTAATTGCTTGTCGTGCGAAGGTTGTTTCAATTTCAGGATCGCCCCGCCGCACCAGTCGTCTCTGGAAGCTGGCTACCCTTTGAGAACTAACCTCGAAGATGGATGGGACTACCGCTGGAGGGCAACAAATGAGGAGTCCTAGTACACGGCCGCACGTCGAGGTACGAATCATCGTGTCCTTGACGATCGCTTCATGATGAATTGCCGATGTCTGGATATCTCAGCTCAGTTGGCTGGAGCCCACGGCGGTGAGGCTCGTGCTCGATTGCGGGTACGCCATCGAGATCGGCCTCGATCGTATACTGTGCGGAGCGACAGCGCCAACGATGCAGGATGACGCTCGAGGAGGGATCCGACCATTTACTCCGCGCTCGGTGTGATGAGCCAAAGGCAAAGGACTAGAGGGCCATAGATTGGCGTCAAGTGTGGTGTGCATTCTTCCGCTAGACTAGCTGCGCCGCTTCGTCCTTAACGATCGGCTCGACCTTGACCTTGAGGGGCGTCGTGGGCGGCCTGACTACGCGCACATCGATATACATCCATTCGCTCGCCTTCACCAACCCTCTCATTTGCTGATCCAGCACCTGAACCCCTTTGAACCAATGCGCCTTCCCGGCCAAGTCGTGCGTCGTCACTCTTCCGGAAGTCGAAGGTGTACACCAGAAGAGCACAGGGTGGTCTGCCGCTGCTAATTTCGGAGCTGTATGCGCATGGAGCTCGGGCACGATCACGTAGTCCTGTAGGCCGAGCCCATTGTGATCCCTCGCGAGGGGAGTGCAAGTAGGCACCCGGACAATCATCCGCTCAGCAGTCGCAAGTCCCTCATCTCTGCTCGACACCGACTGGCTCTCCCGCTTGTTTGGTGCCTTTTTTGTTTTTCCGGATTGAGCTTTCCTAGTCTGCTTTGCTACTCTGCCAAATACGCCCTTCTGAAAAGTCTCGGCGATGCCTTTGCCTACGAATGTGACGATTCGAGGTCTGACCTGGGCCACTTTCTGTACCAAGATTGGAGCTCCTGCTGCGTAGTCCGCCGGTTTGAGTAGGCCGGCGTCCCGTGTCGGACGAGCGCAGAGGTTTGTGAGACCGAGCTTGGGATAGGGCGCGGATTGGTGTTGGAGCGAAGCATCTTCCAGTGGAGAAAAGCGCGTCGGTGTAAGGCCAGATCGATACAGTGCTGGGTAGAAGTGCTGCTGGACAGTGAAGGCCAACATGATGAGCAGCCCGTCAAAACATGAGCGGAGTCCGGCGACTCACGTTGGTGCAGTGCGCAAAGTGATGCCCCACCCGACTCGAGGTCAGACCAGGATTGATGCCGCACATGAGGACTGCGCACAGGAGTAGGTTCAGCCTTATTGTGCACCACTCCAACATTTCGTTCCAGCACTCACTGTCTATGTCTCCTGGCTGGCTGCCCAAATGATCGGGCAGACCCGGAAGGATGGAGATTTCTTCCGCTTGGGCGTGGCCAGAGGAGTCGCCCGAGTCATTTTCACCTCCACCTTGCTCCAATTTGATACGCTTGTGGCCTCGCATAGTAGCTGCTACTTGAGCATTGGCTTTCGGGACATGATTGGCAGCTGTATTTTCTTCAAATTTGAACCTCGCATCGCTCGCTGGAGTGCTGATTCTCGACTGCTTGGCGCGCGTCGACCTCCTCAGACTGTCGTGTCTGGCAGGAAAACAGACCTCGAGCTCCTGTTTGACCGCGCCTCTGGATGCACGAGTGTCTCTCTTGGCTGACGGATGCAAATGAGCATCAATGAAGCTGGACGGCAGTCGAGCTGGCGGCGGAGAGGATGACATTGTCTGACCACTTGTCGAAAGCGCCTGTTCGCGCTGCTTGTTAAGGCCGCAACTCTTCTGGATCACCGCACCCTGGGCACTCGTTACTGACAGACCTCAAAGAAGGTGAAGCGCGGTCCTGTTTGCTGAGTGACAATGCTCATGGTAGCTTCACGATGGATGTGTGGAGAGGAGACATCGATCGGTATCACGCAAGCCAGATACAGATCATATGTGGTTCCAAACGGACGTGTATGCCGTGCTGCACGTTTGTTGGCCTAGCTGTCCGGAAAAGCGCGGAGTTCCGGTTGCGTCTAGGCGCACGGCGGCCTCCACGAATTTTTTGAGGCGGCGTGCACCGACTTACCATGTGCTTTCCCATCGATTCTCACCACATCCACTCCATTCACGACCGCGCTGGCTCAGAATAAACGGCAGCTAAACATCAGGCCCCATATCGAATCTCAAGCGTCACGACTGGAAAAGTCATGTTCAAGAGAATAGCAAAGCTAGCCAAGGCAAATGAGAGGGATGAGAAGCTTGGTATCCCAGTGGGAGGAGACTTCCCACCCGAAGCGAGGATGGGATTCTCAGATGACGAAGATGAGAGCGATAGCGAGTCCGAAAGTGATGCAGAAGATGATGAAGCAGGCCATGATACAGCAAACGAAGCCGAAGATGGTGCACAGTCAGTCGGAATAGGTCAAAATGAAGAGGAGGGCAGCCAAGAAGATGATGATGAAGAGGTAGCGGAAGAGGAGGAGGAGGAGCTAGATCTAGAGCAGGCACCCATGTCCATCCTTCAAGCGCTTGAGAGCACGATATACGTAGCTTTCGATGCGCCCTTGAAGAAGACCTTTCAAATTCGATCGTGTGTTCTTTGTCCAGATGCGCAGCTTAAAAACGACAAGGACACGCAGGATCACGTTTCCAGCCAGGTGGGTAGCTGGGCAAGTGACATCCGCACAGCTGCCGCAAGTCTTCATGATTCTGACGTTTGAACATCCACAGGCACATGCAAAGCGACTCGTCAAGTTCGAAGCATACATTGGGGAGAACTTGTCGGAGAAGGAAAGGACGGCGCCGCCTTCTGAGGGAGGTGCAGATCCCCGTCACATCGTCGCCGAAATTGCAGCGGCGTCGCGGCGAGCAGAGGCAGCCCGGAAGAAGCACAGACAAGCCAAGGTAAGTCGCTAGTATCCACGAGCGCCAACCAGATCGAATGACGCTGACACCGCCCGCTCAAACGCAGCCTTCGTCTTCAAAGACCTCGATCAGAAGCGGTGCAGCACCGAAGAAAAAGGACGGACTGACAAAGAGCGAGAGGAGGCGAGCTTACAAAGCCGCGCAGAAAGCCAAAAAGGAAGAGAAGCGCAAAGCGAGAGCAGGTCTACAGAGTCGGGCAGCGTTGCTTACTGAGGCCAATTCCTCGACGTTCGGGAAGGCTTCAGGGGCAAAAAGTCCCGCCGCCAAGAAAAAGAAAGCGACCTCACGAGATGAGGATGACGGCGCCAAGAAGATCGACAGCGGGGAGGTAGAAATATCCACAACGGCCACCAAGGTGTCTAAGAAGCGGAAGGATCAAAGTGCAGAGCCATCCCACGCCTCAAAGTTGTCCGGCGCAGCTCTCGAAATTGCAAGTGACAAGAAGGCAGCGAAGAAAGCTAAGAGAAATTCGGCTTCGGATCTGCGCCATCCATAGATCATTCGAGCTTGCGCTACAGTATCGCGCGCACATCGCAATGACGCTGTTCAAGCAACGTGGATAGAGTGGACCTTATCCCTCGAAGATAGCAAGCTGGGCACCTTGATCCGCAATTTGCCATTCGAGATCCAGCTCGTCCAGAAATGACTTCATCTAAGAAGGTGATAGCGATGTGTGCAAAGCCTCGGTGTCAGTCAAGCTGTGCTTGTGACTGACCGCAGACGTCACCTGCTCACCATCATCTGTCTACGCTCAGCTTCCTGCTTGGCAGTCTCTGTTCGCAATCTTTCGCCTCTGATCTTCAGTAGTCTGAGGAGCACAGCGATGATGTGTTAGTACTCCAGTATACCGTCCACTCGAAACGACGGAGTAGATTCTCGCACTTACTTGTCGTGAAAGTGAGCAATGGCCGAAGAATTATAGCCTTCGCCTTGTTCTGCTGGAGGCACGCTATCCCCTGCTGGGTTCGCAGGTGGTATGTGAAGAGGTCTATCCTTTGCGCCTGAGAAGGCCGCAACCCTGAGAATCCCTGCGCATGCATGTGCAGAAAGGGGCAGATGCCGCGCCGCAAATTCTGAGCAAAAGGAGGGAACCAAGATATGATATGGATATGGCAACAAGCGACTTACCCATGCTTCCGATGGCGTCTAGTCGGTCAGCATCCGAAACACAAGCAAGCTCAGAGCAGCTCTCCTCCCACTTCCTTCTTTCTCCTTCTTCAACCGTCTCTTCCAAACCTGCAGCTTCGCGCTTCTGTCGCTCTGCTCTGCGCTTTTGATCTTTGCTCCAGCTCACATTCTCAACTATCCGAATGATCAGGTTGACTTGCTCCTCTTCAAGGATTTGAGGATACCGCAAGAGAAAGGGCGACAATAGCGTGCGAGCGGAGGCGGTTGGGTCGTACTTGGCATCTGCCATGTCGTGGAAAAGAGCCGCGAGTTCCAGTGTGATCATGTCCGGTTCAGTTGGTAAGGACGGACATCGGGATAGCCAAATGGACATTTGTCGTACTCGATGAACTTGTTCAACCCGGGCGGGGCGAAGTTCAGCTGCAAGTTCCGACGTATGCATGAATCCTCAGTTCTCACCGTGATGCCAATCATGCGAGGGATCCACTCTGAGCTTGGCAAAGTGTGTTTTCACCAGGTCCTCTGCAGCAGAGATCATCTCCCCGACGAGGTCACGATCTTCGATCTCGACTGCCATCCTGACCCAGAGCACGCTTGGCAGTCGAGGTCGTGCAAGCCGCGCAGCTGTACTACAGTCTGTCGTAACCAGTGCAGGCCAGTCTCACAATCAAGCTGGGCACGATTGCGCCTCTGATGGATCCAGGCTAGCTCCTTGCGTGCAACGTCTCAATTAGAGACCTTTGCGCGCTCAAGCTTGTTTTTGTGGTCTTGGTGTATGCAGACCAGCAAGTATGGTGCCATAGGGCGTCTTCTGTCTCTCGGTGGATGCGGAGTTGCATGGAAAGCTCTCAAAGCGTTCAGTGACGGGCCGTCAAATGATGGACGCATTTACGAGCTACGAGACGTGAGTGCTGAGCGAACAGAGGTCCTACAGATTCACGACTTAATTGCAGCTCCGTTCTCGAGCGGCGGCGGTCTTTCAAACAAGTCACCGCACCTCATCGCATTCGGGTGACTCAAAGTAGACCTCGCTGATGTGCGTGTGTGCACGCGCACGCTGACGCTGCTGAGGTGCATGCATGCATGCATACCGTCCGATGATGCATCCTTCGCCTATTAAAATCAAGTCACTCAGTCGTCCTTCAGCAGCAGCAGCGCCCGCTGGAATACTCGCCGGTCGCGCCGCCTGTCTCATGGCGCAGGAGCGTGCATGCGTGCATGCAGACAGACAGACAAAAGCAGAGCCTTGGTCATGCGCTTATTGCTAGTCGAGAGTGTGCGTGACTCAAGACTCGTGACTGCTGTGGTGGGCGCACATCTTGTGATCCATTCGTGATTCTTGATTCACGATTTGTGTTTCACAATTTCATCTTGATTCAGCATGCATCAGCGCTGCAAGAGGCATGCATGCACGCATGCGTTTTGGATGCTCCCGTGCACGTATACTGGCGAATGCATACACGCGCTGTTTCAGCCTCATCAAGCCAGCCAGCCTGCCTGCAGCCAGGCCACGCGTGCCCACTCACGATTCTCGGGACTGGTGTAAGCTAGGTAGGAGCAGCCAAGGTGACGCAAGTCAGAATTAAGCATCCTAAACTGTATGTCGACTTTGAATGTCGCGGCGACTGGATCGATCGATGTGACGACCCAAGGTTACCGCTGGTCACATATATAGGCCTGCGTGGGCTTGCTGTGTGGCCTAGCTGTGGGGCTGAGACGGTATGCCTTGAATTCAGGTCCCCCGCCTGCTGACTTGCGCGTACTGTTGCGCTCCGACACGCGACGAGTGGCTGAGCTCGTCTGCTGCCCGGCCTCGACAGGCTCGATGGGCGGCGCGTGTCATGATGCGCGGTGCAGACCATCAGTCACAAGTCAGCAGCGCTGCTATGCATGCATTCAGCCTGCAAGTGCAAGTAGTGCCGCTGAATGGCGATCTGAGAGCGCATCAACAGCAGACGGATCAGGCAAAGGGCACTTGGACCTTCATCCCGCCCCTCGCTCCTCTTCACTGGGCGATCATCGCTGCCATAATGCGACCACGAACACTCTGACCCGCGCACTCTTGGAAATTTCTGCTTTGCGTCCAACGATTAGCAGGCTTCTACTTCTCACCGCCGAAGCAAGACTCACGCATCTCCAGCTTGCGAGGCATCGTCACCTCATCTCCGTCAGGATCCGCAGTCGTTTTAGACTCTCAATTCCAAGAATCTCCACGCAAACTTGAGGCGTCGCGTGTCACTAACTCCGACCAGAGCACCGCAATCTTTTGAACTGTCCATTCGATCGACCTTTAAGCCGCTTGTCCCGAGGGCATCGTCACCTCCGGGCTTGCCTGAAAGGGTCGCGCTGCACAATCTGACCCCAGCCCCGTTTGCGAGATCGCGCAATCGCAGCAATGACATCTGCCACAGTTGGCGAGACGCGCCCCGAGTCGAAGAGCTTGAGAGCATGGGTGAGTGGATGCGCGGGCGCCAGGTCGGCTAGCATGGTCGTACTGAGGCTTTGCATGCGCTCTGTAGTGGTCTGCATTCACCAAAGTCAAGACGGCCAACGCTGCCAAAACAGCCAAAGGTGCGTCTTCGTCTTACCAGTCTCAACTCTTCCGGCCCACCCGCTCATCCACTTGTGCGAACGATCACGACAGTGCAAGCGGAAACAGGAGTGTTCGGACAACCTTTGAGGAGGAGTTTGAAATATGCCAGTGTAGCGATTAGTATGGCAGGAGAGGATGGGCAGCAGTATGTCTGGGGTTACGTGCCTGTCATAGTCGCCAAGGTGGGCTTGTACCTGAAAGAGAATGGTGAGTCTGCACGTTGCCAGGCAATAAGCCACGTCGGATTGAGCTGGGGCCGGCTACGCGGTATGAGCCTGAGACGTGTGCCATCGTCGTCATGACCACTACCCTCCCAACGAGTGCGCGCTGACTCGCGTGTGTCTTGTGCAGCGACCGAAGTGGAAGGTGTATTTAGAATAGCTGGCTCTCAAAAGCGGATGCGGGAGCTGCAAGAAGTATTCGACACGCCTCCCAGATATGGCAAAAATGTAGACTGGTCGAAGTACAGTGTTCACGATGCAGCCTCTGTGCTCCGGCGGTATCTCAACCAAATGCCTGTGAGTCTAGGGGTAGGGTCAACCATCACTGTGTCCTCGTCATCCAGCTCACGACGGCATTTCGGCTGTAACCTCTCTGCTGGTCTTAGGAACCCATTATTCCGTTGCATCTGTACAACGAATTTAGAGCTCCGATGCTCAAAGAGCCTTTGGATGTCGACGCAGCTATTAAGACCTACAAGCTGCTTATCAACTCCAGTCCTCCAGCAAGTCAGTACTTGTTGCTCTACGTCTTGGACCTCTTGGCCGTTTTTGCTCGGAAGTCAGAAGTCAACCTGATGCCCGCCAGCAGTGAGTAGCGCCGACCCCTGAATATCGCGTGGGGGCTGCCCCCGCTGACCTGGAGCATCATGCGCAGATTTGGCTGTCATCTTTCAGCCCGGCATGTTTTCGCATCCTTCGCACTTGCAGTCGCCAGACGAGCACAAGGTGGCCGTACAGGTTTTGGAGTTTCTGATTGAGGTGAGTGTCGGCGGAAAGGTAAAGGCATGTGCACATATCGCCTGACTTACCTCGATTTGTCCGCCGATTTTAGCATCAAGATCATTTTGTCTTGTCCATCGGTCCGCCACCACCTGCAAACGTAGCGCCTGCCGAGCTCACTTCGGTCTCGCAGCCAGCGACGGATGAAACAACAGATTTGCCCTCCGACTCGGATGAGGATTTAGGAGAGTTGGAGGTGCATGAGGGAGGTGGTGCAGCCATGGCGCGAGCGGCAAGTCAGGCGACTCCTTCACCGGCGCGTCGAAAGGGTCTTTTTGCTGGAATTCGAGGAGCAGGCAGATTGAGCCCCAACATGCGGCGAGATCAGGTGGAAGAAGAAGATATTGGAGGACAGAGCAATGCACCGGTGGCATTAGGCGGCGGCACACCTAGTGGGGCAACCGTCCAGAGGTCAAAGACGACCCCTAGCAGGAGGCCTTCGAGAAAGGACCCTTCCAAGGAGAAAGACGCCTCCGGTGAGACTTCTGCTGCAGCAAGCAAAGAAACTCGAAGTCCAAGAAGTCACATGCGAAGGAAAAGTTCGGAGGCAGGAAGCCCGAGCCCGAGCGCAGCTGCAAGTCCTTCGTTGGGTGTGCAACCCTTACCTCTCATGACCCCGCCAGTAGGCCCGATCAGCGACACTTCACCTGCGGCTCAAGCCACCACTGAAGCGGCCTCTGCTACAGCTTCGTCCGCTGCCACTGCAGAAAGCAACATTGGCGGCTTGCCCACCCCTCCGCCCTCAAAGTTTTTGAGATCGACTAGCGCAAGTAGCCAGAATACACCCGCCTCGCCTTCAAGGGGCTAGCTTCATGCTCGACGCAGTCTTTCGACGCTCCTCTGCAGTCTCTCACCGTTTATTAGATCTTGCAACGTCATTCCATTCCCACCACGTCATCGAGTTAAGGAAGCCCCACCCCAATCACCCACCATTACATGCGCACTGAACATCGGTACGCCCACCTTCTTTCTTGTCTGATTCTCCATTGACCCCTACTTTGGCTCGCTTCATCGGTCTGCATCGGTCTTTTCGCCTCGTGCGTCTTTGCTCTACACGTGAGCGGCATAAATGATACCCGTCTACCTGTGGCTCTGGTGCGCGGCAAATTGTGCACCGCATAGGATCGAAATGGTGCGATGATACGAGGAACACCTCCGACATACAGAGACAAGATCAGACCAGATCAACCATTTCATTCGTGATTATCATTGCATTCAGAGAACAAACGTGAGGAGACCTGATTCTTGGCGATTCGTAAGCAGGGCATCGGGCATTTTGGCCACTATGAGGATTGGAGTGCACTGGCGACTCAGGGACTTGAGATCTACACGTCCAAAGAACAGCGGCCATCGCTCTCGTTTCGTCAGGCAGCAGGCGTGCGAGCGCTCGATTGCGCCCAAGGGTTGACAGAGAACACCTTGAGGACAGGTGGCGATCTTGTGATGTCGGCGGTGATGATGACGGGGAGCGTGGCAAGGCTCTTCACCGTCATGATGTGGTGACCATTGGTCACAGTAGTATTGTCGAACGTGAGCTCTTGCTTTTGGAAAGAGCGCATGCGTTGAGTGCTGCCCTTCGCGTCTTCACCGCTGAAGACTTTGCGCTTTGCTTCTGCCAAAGCTTCGTCATCCTCGTCATCGAACAGCGCCGCTTCGTCGGTGTGACTCTGAGAAGTCATTTCCATTGCCCTTGCCAATTCGAGACGCCGCAGGCCTTGAACATGGACATCGTCGCCCGTTTCTGCCAGATATGAGAGGACGTCGATATCCTGCTTCCAGTAGAGTGAAAGACTATTCGTGTGCTCGTCGTACTGGTAGTGCTCGAGCGGTATCGCATCCGTATGCACGCGCTTCTCGAGACCAAACTCGGGGACCACCACATCGAAAGCGGCGTCGAGCACTCCAATGACTGTGGCCTGTCGTACGACTGGACCATAGCGTACAGTGAGGTCGTGAATGAGCAAGCACAAGAACAAGTGGGCTGACTGCTCCTGTGCAAGTTTTGCAGCGTCACGTTTGACGTTGCATTGCTGCGCGATCTTGGCCATACCTTCACGATCCACCGGGAACTTGTCGGTGCCTTGCAGGACGGCTTCGAGCTGTCGATGGACCATCACGTCTGCGTATCGACGAATAGGACTTGTGAAGTGCGTGTAGACTGGCACATTGAGCGCAAAGTGCGCGTACTTGGCAATGTCGACCATGCCGGTGGAGAAGTACTTGGCCTTGTGCATGGACTTTGTGGCAAGCGTCTCGAGGGCCGCTCTTTGACCCACATCTTTGATCGAGGACAAGCTCTTGTAAAGCGCACCGGCGCTCGAGATATCAACGTCGAATCCCATTTGGGCAGCGCGAGCCTTGAAGCCTTCCAACCGTCGAAGGATGGGACGCTCGTGACGGCGCAGAAGGGCGACATCGGGCAACCCAGCTGCGATTTGTTGCGCCACGGACGTATTCGCCAACAGCATGAACTCTTCAACAATGCGATTCGCCTCTGCGAGTTTGTGCGGGATCGCGTCGGTGGGCTGACCAAGATCATCGAGGCGGAAGCTGAGACGAGTGTTGTCTATGCGCAAAGCGCCACCCTCAAAGCGCCGAGCACGCATTTTTTTGGCAAATTCATGCAACAAAAGGATGTCGCCTGCAATGTCCGTCTGCGAGTGTGAAGAGTTGGCGTCGACCTTCTCGAGAGGAATAGCTTCTTTAGCATCCACGCCTTCGATCACCTGCTGAGCATCACCATAAGCCAGCTTAGCGCAAGACTTGATCATCGTGCGGCCGAACCAGCTGCCAATGACCCGGGCGTCTTTGTTCATCGTGAAGACGGCGCTAAAGGTCAATCGCTCGACATTTGGCACCAGGGAGCAGAGCTCTTCGCTCAGGGTCGGAGGAAGCATCGGAATGGCTCTTTGAACCAGATATACTGAGGTCGCACGCTTGCGAGCGTCGCGGTCGAGAGCACTGCCAATCTTGACAAAGTGTGAAACGTCCGCAATGTGCACACCCACTTCGAACAGGCCACCTTCAAGTCTGGTGATGCTGAGGGCGTCATCAAGGTCTTTGGCGGTGGCGGGATCGATCGTGAAGACTCTTGTGGAACGGAAGTCTCTGCGCACATCGTGTTCGCGTTCAGGGATTGACCAGGGCAGCGGCGGCAAGCATTTGAGGGCATTTTCGCCAAAGTCTTCGGTTGCAGAGCTCAAGCAGTCCTTGAGCAAGGCCTGTGTCTCGGCTTCCGTGTTGCCGATGACTCCAAGCTCTTCGACAAGCGTGCCAAAGGGATGGAGAGACGTGATAGGCCAGCGCTTGATGCAAGCGACAAAGAGACGATTGTTGTAGCTTTCCTGACCTCCTTCTTCCCAGAAATCTGCCGGAGCTTGGTCAGCTGGAATGGCGATCAGTGGCACGCGCTTGTCTGTGGGTCGGAACCAGACGATCTTAGGCCTCGCCTGCGGCTCTTGACCTTGAGTGCCATCGCCGCCCTCTCGCAAGGCTCGTTCGGCTTGTTGCTTCTCCTTCGTTGCAGCGGACGAGGGTCGCAAGAGACCAAGCGTGCCACTGAAAAGCTGTCCAGGCGTTCGCTCCACGATGGCAACAACATGACCAGCCAGAGCCGGTGGACTCTGGTCATTCTCCTCTTCGTCGTCAATAAGCTTGAGTTGGGCACCCTCAACTTCGAGATCGTCTTTGGCCTTGTCTGGCTTGCGCGCAACGACATTGCCTTGTTCTTCCTTGCGCTTCTTCTTGTCTTCCTTGTCCTTCTTGATGCTCCAGACCTCGTTTGGATCCAGCAATTCGACGGCGACGAGATCGCCCTCGAGTGCACGGTTCCGATCCTTGGAGCCGGAGATGAAGATATCCGAGTCGAGCACCTCGGTGGTTACCCAGGCGTCCGACCTGTTGCGCTTGTTCACACGCAAAATACCGACTACGAGCTTGCCTGCAGCGAGCAGAGGCGGCAGAGATGCTTGAGGCAGGTACGAACCGAAAAGTGCCTTGCGCTGCGAGGCCGCGTTGCCTCCCTGTGGCTGAGGTGGCATCCCTGGCACGTAACCAAATTGACCGCCAGCGAGGCCAGGCAACATGGCCGGGTTGAAGCCGCCGCCAAAAGAGGTGTTGCGATTATGTGCTCCGCCACTGGTGGCACCTGATTGTGCCCTAAATTGGTGTAAAGAGGCCAGCTGAGCTTGTGCAGCGGTCAGGTCCATGACCTGACCAGCGCCCGGCGCAGGGCCATTGATGCGCCAACTTGCGCTCCCAGTGCGACCATGACCGCCTCGACCACTAGCGCCACCGCCCTGTCCAGCGAATCCATCTGCAAGATCCGTCATATTGTTGCCTCCCCCGAGGCTGCCCAGATTGAGCAAGCCACCGCCGGCCATCAGATACTCAGGAGAGAGAGTTGACGCCAGCTGGACTGAGGGATGACTGAAATGGCCAGTCCTCGTAGAAGGCTGGTATGGACTGGGTTGAGGCATGCTTTGCTGCGCTTGCTGTTGAGGAGGGAATGAAAAGTCCATCGTCGCGTTCATCGTCGGTGCTGGCACATCGACAGAACCGCCTAATTGCTGCTGTTGGCTTTGGGCAGCTTGAGCATTCTTGTTCACGATGTTGACCGAGTGTCTGCGACCGTGGCCTCTAGGCACATTGCCACCACCCTGTTGCTGAAGTTGTTGATGAGGCTGAGGGTTGAAAGCGCCACTGAGGCCGAAGGTGTTGCCTGTCGAAAAACTTCCCATCGGACCAGTCTGCGGGGCGTGGCTCTGAATGCGCCTATGTTGACCTCCTCGAGCACCTGATGGCGGTCCCACTGGAGAAGTTGGTTGGCCGCCTAGAGCGCTGGAAGGATTGAAATGGACTTGTTGCTGCAGGAGCGCCTGCTGCTGCAATTGCAGCATCTGTGAAGCGACGTTGCGGTCAGGAGTGCTGCTTGCGATGTATGCGGGCGTAGGGCTCACCTCGATCTGTTGCTGCAATGCCAGCTGTTCTGCGAGCAGACCCCCACCAGGAGCTCCGATCGGACTGCCACCACCAAAGCTTGCGCTTTGCAAGTGACCTGCTCGAGCTGCACTGCTGAGCGGCATCTCGCTGCCGGTTCTGCGATGCCCATTATCGTGATGCCGCGTAGGATCAAAAGCCCCTCCGCCCATGTAGTCAGCGATTGAGCTGCCGTCATCAGTTGCGTCCTCCGCATCATAGTTTCCGCTGCCCATGCCCATCTCGGCGAAGCGAGCTTGGAGGCTCAATTGTCTGGAATGCGCATTACTGGTCTGGCCCCCTCCATGGCGTGCAAGAGCACTCTGGAACGCTACATTGCCGGCAAAGCGCGGTCCGCCCTGGCGATGATGAGACGGATTGAGCGGCAAGCTGGGAGGCGAAGGCGCCTCGACATCTTCGCCTAGGGATGGCAAGGGACCTCCACGACTGAACGGTTTCGAATCATTGGAGCGGCCGAGCTGAGCAGCGAGTTGAGCTTGCAGCTGCTCTTCTTGTTGGGCCAGACGAGCACCCATGGAGGCGAGCTGAGCCTGCGCATCCGCCTCGCCGGCAGCGGCTCCAGCGGCAGGGACAGCTGCGGCATTGGGCGCTGAGCTGGCCTTCATGTCCTGAAGTGCCGATTGAGAAGACATGGTCAGCTGTACCCTTGCTGAGAGAAAAGCAATGACGTGGCGACTGCTCACCTCGATAAGATGCTGAAGGTTATTCATGGCAAGGCTCGGATCGGACGAGCTTTGCAGCTGGCCGTTGCTAGGTACCCCATCACGTCGCCCTTGTTGAGACCTGTGTGCACCACCACCTCTCTGAGCTCCGCCACCACTCGCGGCACCCCCGCGACCACCAGAACCACCTCGACGAGGAGCATTTGTGCCAGCGTGAGAAGCACCATTGGTACTGCTGTTGAGGCCGGTGTTTGAAGCACCGCCGCGACCGCCACCTTGTGAGCCAGGTCTTCTGTGCCCCCCGCGCGTTGCGCCACTGCCCGCAGCGCCCTCGCTGAGAGGTTTCTTGTCTGCAGGAGCTTTCGAGTCAGCCATACTGCACTTCTTAGACGTGACTTGAGAAGATCTGAATCTTTTCTGGCGTGAGCACGATGAATAAAGGCGAGGGCCTAAACGAAGCTCGAATCGAATGTGAAGTGAGTGTGAACACGAAGGAATGTCGTTGCACCGTCCGGGTGCCCTGATGCGTACGTGTGAGATAGGTAAGCTACGTGACGCAAAGCGTATGACCAAATGAGCTTGCTGCTCTCGATGGTCAAGAGGTGGTAGAGAGCGTAGAGATGAAATCCAATTATCACCAAAAGCATCCCCTCATCTGAAGCAGAGTCTGTTGTGTTTCTCAGCTCTTCTTTCAGCTCGCTGGCACAGCTCTAAGCTTTGACGCGCGAACCACGAGTCACGAGTGGGGCACACCAGCAGGCACAGGCTGTGCTCGGATGCTTACGCTGCTCGTGTGCTTCTTGTGCGTCTGCTTGCATTCAGAAGAGTCACAGCTGCACGCGCCCACCGCAGACCAGCAGACACAACGGTGAGGGGGCGGCATACGCTGTGCCGCGAGGAGGCCCCTGCTGCATGGCTGCGCCACGCCACGCCACGCCACGCCACGCCGCCACCTCTGCTGCACCGTCTCTTCTCGCACGCTCCACATTTAGTGACTCCGGCTCCAGCCGTGAAGTTGAAAGCTGCGGGTCGGGGCACCGATAGGTGGGATAAGCACGCTATGAGCCAGGAAGTGTGCAGCGTGAAGCTGGGATATCCACCTCGACCAGCTAGGCTACCTAGCGTCTACGTGGCATGCTGTACCTGCTTGTCGCAGAGTGCTCGATTGATGAGGCTGTGAGAGCTCTGGCCGAGACCTCTCACAGCAAAAGACGACCACGCAGCATGCACGCGCGCGTTTGATGACCTCGACCGCGGTCACGAGTCTTGAGTATGATATGAGTGTTCTGAGAAACATGCAAGAAGTGAATGTCCGTGCGCGGCGGAAGCCGACCTTCCAGTTCCTCAAGTCTGAAAAGGTCTCCCAATCAATGAATGGGGGCTCGACGAGATCTATTCACGACCCACCACTACTACTACTACTGACAAGTGCGTGGCTGCCTGTGTCGCGGCTGCCATTACGTTCGTGATTTCTATTCCATGACCAGTCTCAGCGAATTTGCGTGGTAATCTTGAATGATATACGTCGACCGAAGTCAGGTCGCTGCAAGGCAGACAGACATGAGACTCTCATGTGCGCTGAGTCGTACCTTCTGTCACGTGAATCGAAGTTCTCAACCGGCGTGTAAGCGATGCATGGGCGGCCGCAAAAAAGAAAACAATTCTTGATTTTGGATGAGACAGAGAGACGTATAGCGTATGCTCTGTGTAATTCTTGATTAACACATTCATTCACACTCGTAATTTCAGTTCGATCGTGAATCAAGAATGATTTTCCATTGATTTGCGATTGGACGCCGGCGTCGTGAGTGCGTACTTGCGCACTTAATTAAGCCACGTCGTGTACGTGTGCTCCATCAGATGAGTGTGTATTTATGATTCAGAACATGTTGTGAGACACATCATTAAAGCTGAAACCCGAGTCACACCGAGAGACGTCAACAGTCAAAGTCGTTTGAAAGGTACCGTATACACTGATACAAATCGCAAAACGAAAGCACCCTGACTAGGCCGTACACGCCCCTGGGAGAAGGTGTCCTGGCATCGGAGCAGCCATGGCAGATCCCAGACTGTTCAATTTCGGAGGTCCACCGAAGATCGAAAGGAAGGACGAGGGCGAAGCAAATCGCTCAACCCGACCCTGCTGGTCGGGAACGCTAGCTTCAAAGGCAGATGCCCTTGCAGTGTATTCCGAAGCAGTGCAAGACCCAGCCGCAGAATGTGCGAACATCGAAAGCATCTACTGCGCATCGCAGGATCAAGACAGCGAGGTGCCAGAAGCAAAAATTTTGAGGGAGGACTTTTGCAGCAGCGCGCTTGTTGCTCACCACTGGCTCTCATTGGGTCCGGAATACTCGTCCCAGGGCGTCGACATTGATTTAGCAGCTCTGCAACACAATCAGAGGCTGTTTGGAGCGAGAGACGTGCGCATCTTGCAAAGTTCAGAATACGCACACGCTAAGGATGCGCTCGGCGTCCAGCTCGACCCTTGCGACGCAACATCGGGTGTGGAACACAGAAATCCGGTTCAAGGCGCCTCCTGGGCACCTGGTGCCGCTACAGATAGATTCGACAGAAAGCTCGCCAAGAAGCTGGCACGCTCACAAAAAGAAGCCGCGCAGACCCAGCAGAGGGATCTGCGTACGCAAAACGTTTCGCAGACGCCATCATCCTCTGTGGATGCTGAGAAACCACGACTCACATTGTTACACGCCGACGTCTTGAGTCTCCCTCTCTCGCTGCCGTCGCCTTTGCAAATTCCTCCGCCTGACGTTGTGGCATCGCTCAACTACGCTCTTTGCTACTTTCACGATCGTGCAGGGCTATTGGGCTACCTGCGGCAAGTCGTCAGAACACTTCGGCCTCACACCGGTCGCTTCGTGTGCGATCAATTCGCCGGTCCGCAAGGCAATGAGATCTACCCCGAGCAAGCGCCGCTTTGGGACAAATTCGGCAGGGAACCTGGGTTCATCAGGTCGGGAGATCCGAGGCCCGATCCCGGTAACGCGGACGTGCGGGTTTGGCGGAATGATGACGAGCACTCAGGCTCCAATCCCGCGGACCAAAGTCAGCCCGAAAGTCGGGTTGGTTCTTCTTCATCCTCGCGACACTGGCCCAGGGGCAATCTGCTCCTAGTACGCAAGGGGAAATGGACACCGAAAATTGCTAACGGTACATTCGGCGAAGAGCAAGACTTTGAGTATTGGAGGGAAGATGGGCCAGTGGACTACATGACTAATCGTTTCCGGATGAGCCTCAGCTTCCGGTTCCAGGACGGTGAGCTCTTTTGCGAAGCGTTGCCAATCTGTGCATCTGCGCTAATCCTGTGGTGCTACGTACCTTCAGGTTCATGGCTCCGAGACGTGTTCGCATACGACTTTCGCGTCTGGTCTCTTTGCGAAGTGATCGAGGCCATGCGTGAAGCTGGCTTTGCTAAGGTCACGGCGGAGGTGCTCCCTAGGGGCGCGGCGGACGCGCACACCAAGGAGGAATCTGACTCCGATTGCGATTCCGGACCAGAAGAACAGTCGCCAGATCAGGTGCACGGAAGAAGGAGTGATGATGGATTGCAAGATATGGCCTCGCTCATCAGGAGGACAGAACGAGAAGAAAGGAACCGATCCAATTATGAGATTGTTAGGGAGGGGGAAATGGTTTTCGCCAAGAGAAGTTTCGCCAGTGAGTTCACGCTCTTGCGTTAACCAAAAGCGTCAGCATGCTCACATAGATCATCGGCCATCTTCGTCCTGCTAGCATATGTCATCGGGCACGCGCCCTGATCCACAAAGTGCCTAATGGAAATGCATGTCTTGAGCTATTTGGCTCGGCCAAGATTGAAGTGAAGGAAATCATTGCACAGCAGTAGAGTCTGTCGGTGCTGCCTCGGGTCGTGACCTAAGCTTGACCTTGTTCATCTGTCCGATTGAACCCCTTGAACGCAACCCCACGCCTTGTGAGGTCAAGTCTCAGGGGAACACCCCGCGATCGGCGAAGGCGCCGGCGCTCACCTCAGAACTGGTAGTGACGGTCTGAGTCGACAGACTACAGAGGGATCCAAGTGAAGCCAAACTTGACCGTATGAGCCTTTGCAAGGCATACGGCTCGCCTGCTGAATGTGGGGGCAGGGTGCTCCGATCATGCAATGGAGAATGCCACCCTAGCTGATGGGCAAGGGCGACATCCCTCATCACACAACAGGACAACGCAGGAGCAACGGAAGCTTCCGCTCTGCCATTCCTTGTCAGATGGCGCTAAAGATCGCTTAATTGCAGCTGAACGCGCGCTAAGCAGAAATAGCCGCGCTTTGGTCCGTCTTTTCCCCACACCTACCGCGTGGTCGATCAGCGTTAGCTGCTGATGCACGCAGCAATTTTGAATAATTGCTGCTGCTCATCCGCATGCTGAGTTGAGTTACTTGGTGAACACACCTGATAGGGGCCCGCGCAGCGCGCCACGAAATGGATCAACAACACAAGCATCACGAATCAGAGTGAATGCGTGTGCTCTCAATGGAGCAAGTATGAGCTGTCCCCCTCTTCAGGCACCATGCACTGTACGTGTACCTATAGTGACTCTTCTGACTTCGTGTCAAATGACGCTAAAGCAAGCCAACGTTCTTCTGTCCACGATTGAGCGGTCATCAAGATGCACTCCGCGACAAAGTACCTACAACTGTGAGCACCAACAACTGCGCCGAATGGATCCCAGGAATTCCTAAGGGGAAACGCGGGCAGGCTGCGCAAATAAGCAGCACGCACACCCCGCTTCTAACGACAATCTGAATGGAACATAAGTCACCTAAGTCTGCGCAATGCAATTCCCAATACGTTGTCGGCTCGCGTAGTGTGAGTAGTTTTGAGTACAGCCTGTATAGCCAGTGACTTTGACTTTCTGCGCGGGGCCGTGCCTCGTTATAAAAGTGGCCCGCTCGACGATCTGAAGCTAGCCCAGCCCCGCCAGACCTTGCTTCCTTGTCTCCCTCCCTTCCGCCCTCCTTCGTTTCCCTCATACCCATCCTAATCAGCTGGTGTAGGACTCCTGTCTCTCTCGCCTCCCCCACGCCCTCCACGTCCCCACTCCACCTACTCCCCTTGCTCTCTTACCCGTCGAAGCCTCTTCCTTTGCGCTCTTTCTTTGCCCCATTCTACAACGCTCCCGTTTCCGACAGGTGCAATGAAGGCGTCCTTCCTCATCCTAGCTCTCGCGCTCTTCGGCGCCAGTGTACCCACCTCTGCTAAGCATGATTTTGAGCGTCGAGCAGCGCACCACTCCAAACATCATGTCGAAGCTCGCTCTCAGCATGCATGGCTCGGCTCGGCAGAGATCAGCCAAGGCTCTCTTCAAGAGGCTAAATTGGACACTTTCCGCGGTGACGAGTCCGTTCTGAAAGGCTGGAATGGAGCCAAGATGAAGGAAGAATCTGCCAACGCTGAAATTAATGCTGAGGCAAAAGCAAGCAGCAAGAAGAACAACGCAGCCCACGCTTCTGCTACTGCCGACGCTCAGACTGAAGGCTCGGCTAGCGCTGGCATTGCAGGTGACCAACAAGACCACAAAGGAAAGGCGGGTCTCATTCAGAACGTTGGCCGCAACCGCAGGTGGAAAACTGCCATTGCAAAGGCAAAGGATGCTGTGGGCAAGCTTACTCTCGAGGAGCGAGTTGCTCTCATGACTGGTGAGCGCTGCATTGTGCCGGGAGGACGCTTCGTTCGAATGTGCTTTGTAGCACCTCGCTAGGCCTCAGCTCACTCATACCTCGTCCGTTTGCATGCTGTGGAAAGGTGTCGGTTGGGAGCGTGGTCCGCTACCCAGATGTGTGGGAAACATTGCCCCCCAGAAGAAGATCGGCTTCGAGGGCCTTTGTCTTCAAGACTCGCCCGTCGGTGTGCGTTTCGCAGGTAAGTCGCCCTTTCTAAAGCTGGAAAAGTTCCGCAATCTCAGTCACGAGGCAAAGCCGTCGGGAAGTGCGATTTAGGTGGCAAGGTCGACCTGCGATCCATGCTGACATCTTTTGGTGGTGCGGGTCTCTCAGACCTGGTCACTCCTTTCCCGACCGGCATCACCACAGCTGCCACTTTCAGCAAGGAGTTGGCCTACAAACGTGGTGTGGCTCAAGGGCAGCAAGCTCGGGCCAAAGGTGTCTCCATCCTCCTGGGCCCTGGCTTGAACTTTGGACGCGCGCCTGCTGCGGGAAGGAATTGGGAGTACGGCGGAGAGGACCCCTACGTGATCGGTGTGGCAGGCGCACAGAACATCAAGGGCATACAGTCCCAGCATGTTCAAGCGTGTGCCAAGCACTTCGTACTAAATGACCAGGAAACGCTCCGCAACACCTACTCGAGCAATGTAGACGAGCGCTCGTAAGTTCAAACGCGGGAGTGCTCTCGTGTGGGAGAGGCGTGTGGCTCATTTCCCCATTCCCTCAGTCTCTACGAGCTGTACCTTCACCCCTTCAAGGATGCTGTTGAGGCAGACACCGCCACAGTCATGGCGTCTTATAACAGGTGTGTACCAAGTGCTCTGGTCTTTTGAAACCGAGCGGGGAAAAGACTGAGCAGCTGAAGTGCGGTCCCCTTTCGCTACGAACGACAGAATCAACGAGACTTGGGCGACAGAGAATCCGGAGCTCCTTGGCAATATCCTGAAGTACAGGCTGGGCCACAATGGAGCTACCATCAGCGATTGGGGAGCACAGCACAACAACGTAGAGTCGGCAAACGGCTATCTGGACATGGCTCAACCGGGACAGACAGCATGCTGCGACAAGAGCATCGGCACCTACTTCTGGAACGAGAATCTGGTCGCTGCTGTGAACAATGGCTCTGTTCCTGCCGTCCGAGTGGCCGACGCAGCGGAGCGTGTGCTGGCGGGCTACTACCTGCTGGACCAGGACCAGCCTCATCCCAAACCCAACTTCGATTCGTTCGACCCACTCGACCCGAGCAATCAACACGTCAATGTGATCAAACCGGAACACGTTCAAGTTGCACGCGAAGTTGCAGCTGCTGGTACCGTTCTGCTCCAGAACAAGAAGAAGACACTTCCTTTGGATGTCAAGAAGCTGAGGAAGCTCGCGGTGATCGGACCTCAAGCGGGCCCGGCCATCAATGGTGCCAACGCTTTTGGCGACCGTGGTGGAGTCGACGGCTACCTCGGCATGGGTTGGGGCTCAGGTGAGTCTCTCGCGCCCTTGCTATCAAAGTTGGCATACAAGGTCTGACTCCGTTCATTTCTCGCGTGCCCGTAGGTACTGCGGAGTACCCCTTCCTAGTCGATCCCCTCAACGAGCTCAATCAGCTCGCACGCAAGACGCCCTTCGGACTGTACTGGAGTCTCAACGCCACGGACTACGACCGCATCCCCAAGGTGGCAGATGAAAGACTGGGCGTCGACGCTGCCTTGGTTTTTGTCTACGCCGACAGCGGTGAAGGCTACATCTCTCTCGAGAATGGCGTCACTGGTGACCGTTCCAACTTGACGTTCTGGAACACCGGCCCAGAGCTCATCAAGCGCACTGCCGCTGTCAACAGGTATGTAGAATCAGGAATCGCTTTGAGAGTGAGATCGATAAGTGACGAGCTCGTCGCGCTGCCAACAGCAACACGATTGTGATTGTCCAGTCGCCAGACGCCAACGACTACGAAGATGTCATCTCGAACCCCAACGTGACCGCGATCATTTGGTCTGGCATGGGCGGAGAAGAGGGTGGCAGCGCCCTTGTTGACGTGCTCACTGGCAAGACCAACCCATCCGGACGTCTTCCATTCACGATTGCAAAGAAGAGATCCGATTACTCAGCCGACGTCAACTATTTCCCAGGTCTCTCCGACACGCCTGCATCTTTCGACCAGGCTCAACTACCCTACACTGAGAAGCTTGAGGTGAGCGATCGATACCAGTAAACGCTCCTGGCACCCTTTGCTCAACGTTGCCGCTCAATTCCAATCACGCTCTTAACAGGTCGGTTACCGCCACTTTGACGCCAAAAATATCGAGCCCAGATTCGCGTTTGGGCACGGTCTGAGCTACACCTCCTTCAAGTACTCTGGCGGTCGTGGCAAATGGCTCGACCAAAAGGAATGGAACTCCCGCGCTTGGTCGTGGCCTACTCCGAAGTGGATCAATGAGCCCGTGAGAATCGCAGACCCTGTTTGCTCATGCGTTGACAGGTGTCCCATTTGCTGAATCGACGTCTCATTTATTGTGCATGTCTAGGTGTATGAGGTGTCCTTTACCGTGCAGAACAGCGGAGGACGTGACGGCCACGAAGTGCCTCAAGTTTACCTGTCCTTCCCAGCAGCCGCAGGCGAGCCGCCGAAGGTCCTTCGTCTCTTTGACCGGGTACCTATTCCAGCTGGTCAATCCAAGCACATCACCTGGCAACTGACGAGGTACGACCTGTCCATCTGGTCGACCGAGAAGCAACGCTGGATACACCCGGCCGGCGACTACAAGCTTCAAATTGGAGCTTCTTCGCGCGATATCAGATTGAACGTCGACTTCAAGAGCGCAGCTTGACACTTGGATAGGTCTCAAATTTGTCCTGTTCCGAAATGGACTTCGCTCGAGAACGATTCCTTCGCCGCACAGTCACATTCTTCAATAATACTTTGCTTCTGCCGTGTGCCTCTCCGGACCTTTGCGCCAGTCGAAAATTGTCGGCACCTGACGTTCCTAATTCCTGCTTGCCATCTTGTCTGCTTCCCCAACACTTCCAGAGTCCATGAAACCGCTTGCACCTACATGCACGCAAATGACAATGTCGCTGCACATGCCTGGCAGACATTTGTTTGACCCCGTCTGCGGGCTTACGTCGACGGTCGACTGACGAACGCGGGAATCACCGCAGCTTATTCTCTCCCGTGATAAAAGGCAAGCCTAGCCAAGGCGATGAGCAGGTCTCTCGTGTACGCATGCTTGTGGACCTCGAAGACTACAGGTCTGCCTTTCAGCCTTTCTTCTTCTTGAACCTCAGCATTTGTCGACGCGGGCGCGCTATTCGGAGAGGACCTTTCCGCCGAAGGACGCAGCAAGCTCAGAAACTCGTCGATGCGCTGGTGTTTGCCCGACTCGTCGACGAACAGGCTGTCTATCTCGTAGATGGGCACCCCAGCTTCCTTGTCCAGCTCTTCGACCAAGCTCTTGACCTCGTCCATTCGAGCGCCAGGAAGCTGCTCGTCCCGCGATATGTCGTCTGATGGTTGCGCAGTCGCAGCGTCTGGTGCCACGGTCATAGAATGAGGCGTCGGTGCTGCCCTAGTCTCGCTGGAGAATACCAACAGAGCTGCGAGCGTCCAGTTTTCTCCTCCGGGGCTTGGAGCGGCTGAGAGCCTCCCCAGACCATTCAACTCGATGCATCTGATTGGTCTTTCGCTCCTTGGTCCGCATTCTCGGAGCGGATTCGAGGACTCCCGATCCAATGATGCTGATGTCTTGTGGACCTCATTAAGCACACGTTCTTCCAAATCCGTCTCGACTTGATGTTGCAGATCGGCCGGGATGGCAGCACGAATCCGAGAGGCCGAAGCTGAGAGACCGGATGTGAGTACAAGGCGTGATATGAATCAGGTCTCGGTCCGTCGCGACATGCGCTGGTGATGTGAGCTTTCCGCATCGACCCACCTCTGTTTGACAAGCTCTGAAAGACATTGCGATCCAAAGTTAACCAAGCTCCTCTGCTCTCCCTTCCTCGTGTGTGACCTGGAAATTGGATACGTGATAATCGAGCGGACTTTTGCTTGTTCTCGCGCCTGCGCTCAGTACGGTCGTTGTTCTCAATGTCTCGCAGGGTCAGCTGATCATTCTTCTCCCGGATGACAGAATTTCCTGCGGGCTGCTCAGAGAATGGTTGGCAAATGGCTAGCCTGACCATCAGCGCTTCGCAGCGCCCATGCGAGAATAGTGTGAGGACGCGCCGCCAAATTTTCCTGGGGTGAGGTGAACGCAGAGTCGACTTACAGACTGGCAAAGAGGCCGAAGTGAGAACGCATCGCCTCAGAGGAGCAGCGAGCATATGTACTGGACCGCAAAAGAGTGGCATACATGAGCGCGCTAGCGAAGAGATGCGCCATTCTCGTACTTGGCGAGCTCACCGAATGGATCTATCTCGAGCTCGTAGTCGAGCTTTCCCAGCTTGATGCGCACATCGTCGCTCATTGAGTCATTCTCGGCCCCGCCTGTGGAGCTCCTTGGAGTGGCTCGAGACGCCCCGTGAGAGGTAGTTCCGTGGTGATGAGACGAAGGCTCCGCCGTTGCGCGTTCAGAGAAGCTCTGGCTCCTCGGACGATTGGCATTCGTGGAATTGGACTGCAGTGAATGCCCTAAAGCTAGAGTATGGGGTGCGTGCAGCCTCGAAACTGTCTGCTTATGAGACCTGTAATTCCTGCCTTGCCGAGCATCGTTTCCAGTGTTCCAGAGCTCAGGTCCCCCTGCTGCAGCGACTCGACCACCTGCGATCGAGCTTCGGATCTGTAGTCGCCATGGATCTGCTAGCCAAGCTTCCCATCTATGCGGACGCCTAGCTTGAAGATCCCGTCGCCACAAGTCGCTAATGCTCAGCTCAGATTTCCTTTGGCATGGCGAGCTTGCGCAGCGGACCAAGCAGAATGACATGGCAATGATATGGCTCGCGTTTGGGATGCGAGTACTCAGTGTCCGGTTGGGAGTAGGTCGATCATGTTTCCGGGCTTGAGTTACCTGAGAGCAACCTTGCGATGCGATGAGTGTGAAGGTGAATTGATTCCCTAACCTCGAGGAATGATTGTAACGCAAAGGGGCAATTGTCCTTGATCTCCAGGCAGTGAGCGGCTTCCGCGAGCTTGGTGTCGAATCACAGTGGAAAGTGGAGTCAGCAAGCGCGCTCTTCTTCTCGCACGAAATGAGCGCAGCGCGGAGCCGAGTCACGCCCTGCTTCCTCATAGCGACGCGAAGGTCGCAGCGGGGCGGGCGATTCGCTTCAAGTCACTCACTGAGTTGGGATGAGCAGATGTCACGTATAGCTAAACAAGAATCGTGAATGAAGAGTGAGGACATATCCAGGAGAACGTCAACCCAAATCCGCCTGCTCGTCTCACAGTCAAGTGCATTGGTCACCCTGCCGTCCACAAGGACTTCTCTTCGGGCTCCCTTCATCTCCAGCACCCACTCATCTCAGCTGCTCTGCGTCAAACGAAACCTGCGCAGGCGTCTGCATCATCTCATGAACCCCGCAGCCCTTGGCACTTTCACGATCTGACTTGCTCCTCGATACTTCCTGGCTCAACGACATCATAGTCAAGGCTCTGGCTCAGCTCGTGCCGAGATGGGAGTGCCTCCTTATAATCTTTCGGAGCAGCCCAGCGCGGAAGACATTCTTCAGCTGCTGGACAATGCTGGTTCATCAGGCATTCCAGACACCCGGACCCTCGCGGTGTCTCCGGACAACGTTGATCTGACCTCGCTTACCTCTCTCGAAGCAGCGCATCGCGCGCGGGCGGACTGGCAGTTGGGCCTTCAATCTACGCTCAGCAGTCTCAGAGATAGAGACATGGTCACCTTTGATGTCAAGGAAGAGCTGAGTAGCGGGCTCACAGAGGAAGGAAACACGATTGCGAATGAGGGAAGTCACGAGGCCAGGTTGTGGGCTGCTCTACCTGCAGACGCAGAGGAAGGAAAGAGCATGCAAGACTTGCAGGTGAGATCGCTGTATGCCGTCCTGCTCCTCGGTGAACCTCGACTGTGCCACTCACACCGTGATCAAATCCTACTTGGAAGACATTGCTCACCGCCGGCGTCCTGAAGATTGCTCAAGGCAAGGCATTCGCCAAGAAGTGGGTGCGGAAACATCCTTCTGTTAATGGCGCACTAGCTCGCGTCCCAGGAGTAGACAATATCGTGGATGAAACCAGAACACAGCTAGCCGGCATTAGAGACGGCAGCATCAGGCCATCAGACAAAGACTTGGCGGAATTGCGAAAAAGGAAACTGATTGTAGCCAAGTGAGTTGGCTTTCTTTCGTTGTGTGTATGCAGTGTGACTGAGCTTCTCCACTCGCTCAGGAAATGGGTTTATTTCTCCCTCAAAAAAGGACCTGCGTTTGCTCTCAAGGTTGAGAAACTCGAGACTGATCTGTCCTTCGAGATGCTCCAGAATGGAAGCTGGAAAGACAAGCCGTTCAAGAAGTACAATTTTGAAGCGGATGGCGTAGAGCCGAGTGCTGGGGCCCTCCATCCTCTACTCAAGGTCAGAGAAGAGTTCAGAAACATATTCTTTGAGATGGGGTGAGTTTGTCGAGCCTTGACACTGCGCACGAGAGCACTGGGGAAGGCTGGGAGTGCCGCGCTTACGAGTGATGCGCGCTTCTCATCGCCCTGTCCACTTTTCCTCGTCTGTCTCTTGCAGCTTCACAGAAATGCCCACGAACCGCTTCGTGGAAAGCAGCTTCTGGTGCTTCGATAGTCTCTTCGTCCCCCAGCAGCATGCTGCGAGAGACGTGCAAGACACATTCTTTGTCAAAGGTACGTCACTGCACTTCCGTTGAGGCATTGGAGCTGCCAAGGTATCTGTAATCCAACCTCTGAGATCGCCCGTCGTGCCCGACTATCTCTGTAGATCCACCAGCAGCGAAGGATCTTCCAGAAGATTACTTGAAGAAGGTGACGCAAGTCCACGAGGAGGGTGGTTTTGGCTCGACGGGATACCGCTACCCATTCTCTCGAGAAGTCACCGAGAAGCTGGTTCTTCGAACGCACACCACCGCAGTGTCTAGCGCGATGTTGTATCAATTAGCCAACGCGCCGGGAGGCTTCAAGCCTGCCAAGCTCTTCTCCATCGACAGAGTGTTCCGCAACGAAGCGGTCGACGCGACACACTTGGCCGAGTTCCATCAAGTGGAGGGTGTCGTGGCGGATTACAACATCACCTTGGGAGATCTCATCGGCTTCATGCAGATCTTCTTTGAGAAGATGGGAGTGAAAGATCTTCGCTTCAAGCCGGCTTTCAACCCTTATACCGAACCTAGTCTAGAAATCTTCTCCTACCACAAGGGTTTGGGCAAATGGGTCGAGATCGGTAATTCGGGCATCTTCAGACCAGAGATGCTGAGACCAATGGGCTTGCCCGACGGTGTCAATGTACTTGGATGGGGTGAGTGAGACGCCTACGCGCACCAGGTGCTGGAGGCATCGCAACTGAGTGATCTCCCATGTTACCTTAACCTTGCACCCAGGTCTGAGCTTGGAAAGGCCCACTATGATCAGGTATGGCATCAACAACATCCGAGAATTGGTTGGGCACAAGGTAGACATTGAGGGTGAGTTGCTGCTTGCAAGAGTTTCCAGCTGCTGCACTACTTGCTGTGGCATTTCGAATTGCGAAAGGCTTCGCGTGCTGACTTCGTCATCTGCCCACTGCTTCTCAGGTGTCGAGAAGGCTGCAGCAGTCCGTTTCCCATGAGAATGCGTCCTTTTCGTTTGCACTACAGTTGAAAATACATGGATCGAAGCTACAATGACGAGATGAGATTCCGCCAAGTATTCGACGCGGGACAGATCTGTCCTCAAAGATCAATGTTTATGCGCTTGCGGGATGTGGTAGGTTGCGAGGGAGACGCCGAAGGTGCGAGAGCCCCCTTTCCAAGAAAAAGGCCACGAATTGACTTGATTAGCTCGAGGGATGCGCCAAGCGCGATGAGCGTCATCATGAAATGGTCCATGGGGCGCCGCAGGTAATGCAGTGCTTAAATATGCGGAGGGCCTGATTCAGCAGCTCCGAGCCTCCCTCGTCCAGCGAGATGGGGTACGCCTTGCGGTTGCAGCCGACACAAGTCTTGCTGCGGGCTTCGCCCAAGAGCTTCCACGTGATGGAGCATCGAGCTGTCATAGAAGCGAAGAGAGGCAGAGCAGGTGGGCAACGCGTCTTCGATAAAAATTTCGATACTTCGATGCTCGGATCTCAAGGGACAACTCACACCAGATGTGACCTGTCCTGCAGCGTGTCACCCCATCCCCTCCAATCGCCACCAGCGGAACGTCAGCATCGCACGCTGGGCAACTCTCGCCGCACTGCACGCTCAGATGCTAGGCGCGGGAACGTGCCGCCGGAACGAAATGGGAGGCGTCAATCTCCCCGACATCCTCGGTCGGGCACACAGGCATGCTAGCGCTCGTCTCTGAACTCACCTCTCGCGCATCAGCGCGAAGTGCATCTCGAGCCGTTTCCGCCACCTTTTCGACAGGATACATGGATCGGAGAAGCTTCCAAGCCAGGTTTTCCATCCTCTTGAACACTGCCGATCCTTGCTCATCCCTCTCTGCAAGATATACAGCCGCAACGAGCCTTTGACAAAACATGAGATCTTCCGAGGTGCTATCACCCAGATTTTGAGCGTCATGCCCCTGTATGTGTGAATGGGCAGCTTCGAGCTGGGCTAGCACGTGAGAAGATTGCAAAGTCAAGTTGATGCGCTGTGTGGCGTGGTCCACTGCGAGCTGAAGGTCGGCAGGTAGAGGTTTCTCATTCTGCAGAGCAGAATCCAAGAGTCAAATCGTCGCGGAGGGGGATCTATGTAGGAGACAACATCAAGGCTCACCTTCATCTTGAGGAACAGTAGATTGACGGCGCGAAGTGCTACTACACGCTTCTCATCCTCCGCTGCTTGGGAGTCATCTTCTCGTAGTAGATTTTGAGCAGCCGAGAGCGCAACATCGACACCCGCGCTTATGAGTGCAGATCGACGTGGGCTACTCCCCAGCAAGGCGCAGAAGGGTGAGAGGCGGATGATGCTATGCAACTGTTCCGACTCTGAGCAGCACTAGAAGCGTCAGATTCATCAGGCAGAAACGTGGAACGTAGCGGACCGCTCACCATCGCAGAATGCGAACGCAGAAGCGAGGGCGGCCTGAGCCGATTCCTCAGGGGACAGCTTTGTAGAGAGAGCTTCGCCGGATAGCACCAAGGTAAAGTTAACAGCGCCCTCCATCGAATGTCGAAAGAAGCCTAGCTCATTCGCTCTGCAGAATACCCGAGTGGCGCCCAGCCGACCAAGCAATGTAAGCGCAGTCAGCAGCGCGAGTGTGATAGCCCTGGGCGTGGCTCGAGACCCACCGATGTAGAGCAAATCTCAGGCGTGCACCGCCACCAGCACCAGCTTGCGAAGCGTACCCTACCAGACCCTGATGAAACTCGTACCTTCTTTGGAGATCGATGGCTGTCTCTTGCGCGGCAGAGCTAAAGGGGCTGACCAGCGAGCATGCGGGAAGCACGACCGAAGCATCCTCGTCTGATGCTTTGAAGTCCGAAGAGCAAAGAATGTAATGGTTGCCATCCTTCAGTGTGATGTGGATCATTCCGCTGTCCTGCAACTCTAGTTCTGTGGGCGAGATGTGGTCAGAACGTCAGTTTGGCTACGACCGTAAACACTCCCACACCCGAGTCGTGTCGTCTCTTCCATGACATCCTTCTCCATCTCGTTGTAACGACAGGACGAGAGTCACTCACGAACACAAGGTGACATGGCTTCTCCAGGTTGATCATCTTCAACCTCTCCCAACAACGCAATCTCTACCTCTGAGCTAGCTTCTGGTAGGCAGCGCATGATCGCTCCGGGTGTGGCAAAGTATAGATAAACATCATCAAGCCAAGTAGGTTGCGAGATGCCGACATTGAGAGCGCGTGCAGCATCTGCAATACGCTCCAGCGACACCGTTCCTGTAGTATCCACCGCGAAAACAACAAAGTCAAGGATGCCGCAATAGAGTACAGCGACGATAGCTGGTGTTGTGCGTAGATCGACGTGTCAATGGCGATGGCAGCTTCCGCAGACCCTGAGATCCTACTGACCTGATTGAGTCCCATCGCTGCTCATCTTGCACTTCGACGCGATCACATAATCTATTGGAAAGTCGGCAACACTGGCTTGTAGCAGGAAGGCGGCAGGGCCGCTCTGGTTACACCTGAGCAGCGCGAACCGCAACGCAGAGCGCATCAGGCTGATAGGACATCGTGAACCGGCTTACCGCCAACCTCACCTCCATACGTGTAGCTTCCCGCTTCTAGAGCTACCGACCAGATAGGCAGATCGACAAGTCCTGGTCGCCGTTTCGCCGAATGAAATGTCAAGCCACGCCATGTCTGGCAAGGCCAGAAAGCGAGTTCATCAATGTCTGCCCCCGTCCTTGCAAGGGTAAGATTGGCGTTCACTCACCGCTGATCTGTTCATTCAACATTGCTTGTCTTCTTCTTCTCTCGAATTTGACCTTCGTCTCGGGAGCCTGGAGTCGTTCCTTCTGTGTGACGGCAGCACTTGCGAAGGAGTTCAGCTTACGTACGTGCTAGATGGCGGCGCGTCTCGCTACGCACATACACCATGGAGCCCGGAAAACTGCCTGGTCTAGGTTCGAAGAGGTACAGGTCCATAGCAGCCGTCTGGATGGCCAAGACTGGGCTGTTGACCATTTCTTGAAGAGGATGAGCGTACATCAGGCACAAATTCGGATGTGAACAATCACGCACCCTCCTTGATCGCCCAGCAGTGCCGGGCACCAAGCGACTTTTCTCCAGACCGGCAGTCCAGATCCGGGATGACCTAGCATGTAGTCTGGTCTCGTTTTCGGCACGGCACTAGCTAGCATCAGCAAATCTGTGCACACATATCCAGCGCCTTCGCACCGCATTGCTGCTCACCATGCGTGAAAGCATTCCTTGCGTCCATGCTATCGGCGGATTGCGACCTCTCCTGCATCATCGTTACGACGCCGCTTACTTCTATACTGCTATAGAAGGCGCTGGACAGCTCGCCCGAGAGGTCTTCCATTGTACCCGGGGTGAACATGGTCAAGTTGGGCTTTTGGGCAGTTGCAAAAGCCACAGACGGCGTCTAGTGGCGACCGCAGAAATGCCGCGGGAGCGTGAGCTCGTGACACACTGCAAGTGACATGTGGAGCACGAACACGACAAAGCACTTACGATGATGTGGATGACTTTGGCAGTGGTGATTGCTACGCAGCCGAAAGAGGATACGGCAAGGCTACCAGAGTCCGGAGCCCCAATCAATCTGACACAAGCGAGCCTCTTCTCTTCTGGCCAATTCGCCCTCTTCACAGGGGTTCGTGACTTTACTGGCGTCTTGAGGGCTGTACGAGCGGATCTCGGGGTCCCACGTGGAGCATGAGACAAAGACTCTGGCATGCCTCGAAGCTCATTGTCGATCTCCATCGCCTCCGAGCTGGTTACGCTCCATGTCTCGACCTGTCGCTGACTGAGGCTCATCTTGCCTTGACTCCCCTGAGCGGTACTCCGTGATTGAGCAGAAGGTGAAGCTACCGTTCCAGCGAGCCCCGGACCGTGCGCAGGAGCAGCACCCCAAGCGCCAGATTGATCCACATCCATAAACTCAGGATATGCTTCCGAGCCCGTGCCAGAGCTCGGTCCTGCCGCTGCAGAGACTCTGCCGCGCGTCGCATTGCTTCTGACAGGACGACCCGGAGGGGGTCGTGGAAAAGATCGAGTGGATTGCAAGGGCGATGTACCCCGACCTCGTGAAGTTTCGACGGCCGCGGGCGGAGATTCCGTTTGAGCTCTTGCTCCCTGTTCAGCACTTTCGGCAAGCTTTGCCCTCCTCGAGGATCGAGCAGGAGGCGGTTTGGGCCTCGTCACTCGCGCAGGTGGCTCTGCATCGGATGTGGGTCCATCTTGCGCTTTTGAGTCCGCCTGTTCGACGACCTCCAACGCAGCAATTCTTTGCAACTCCACATCTGTCGCCTCTCCCTCGTCTCCTTCGCGTCCATCACGCCATGCGCGCTGCTCGTGTTCTTGCTCAGACCCGCTAGATTCCTGCCTCAGTGTCCCCGAAAATGGAGATCTCGAAGAGATACTTCCTCCGGGCAACTCCACGAAGAAGCTCGATTCCCTGCCTTTGCCCTTCGGAGTCCGTTCATGCGGAGCTGCTCCAGATTGAGAGCTCGAGGTGGAAGAAGCCCGAAGTGGCACTGGTATTGCTTGTGATGACTGGGTAGGCCGCGACCTCTGCCCCCGTCTTGGGGGAGGCCATGTACGAGGAACGTCGCTGGTTGGGACCATGACAAGCGCAGCACAAAGGAGTAGCTGGGGGCAAGGTGAGATAACTGTAGGAAAGCGGATTGCTGTGGATCGATGCGGGAAGGCATACGCTCAGTTGAGCCGATGTGTCTCCTGCGCGTGGACCAGACAAGTCAGCAGTACGTTTATATCGCGGTATACATGCAGTCGTGAATGTGTAAAGCTGCAGGAATCACAGTCTTTGAATGTCAGACGCGATCGAATCTGTGTGCGAAGCGCTGTGACTGAGAGTGACGAGTCATGCACTCACGACTGCATGCATGGTGACCCCCCGCACGTTGAGCCGCGGCAATCTCGTGCGGCACGCCTGGAATTGCACCGCACGCGGCGCGCGCTGCCCTACATCATGCGTACACCGCTGCACGTGCGGTCTACCTATATATACGCGGTAGACATAGTCGCGGCGGGCGACGCGTTTTGGCCAAGTGTTGGACTCGCGGTGAAGGTGGATTTGTGATTGAAATTGGCTCTCTGCCATGCATCACGCACTCATTCACTCATTCATACGCCCTGCGAGTGATCGGGTCCTGCCGTCTCACAGATCAAGAGACTCTGCTCGACTTTCCTCATCATCGTTTTCGCTATCAGCAACGTCGCTGCCATGGCCGCTACTCGAGTCAAAACCGAAGTCGTGTCGGCAACGGCACATGGGCGTTGAGCTGAGGGTTCCCTGTCCTCCGCGCCACGACCTTCCTAGACGTACTTTGCGTCAGAACACTGATGCCGGGGCGGCCTGCCTTGGGCGTAGTCGTGAGACAAAGAGTGCACCACCGGTGCAAGAGACTGGACGAGTGCTACAAGAAGCACTTGTCGCCGCATGCATACAACCTGACTCGGTCTTAACTCAGAGAGCTTGATCGATACGAGGATATCAGCAGTGATGCTCATCCCCGAAGAGATCTTTGTGCTCTGCGTCACCTCGATCACGTCATTCCTTAGTTCAGAGAACTGGACACTCTTAGACTTGAAGGGCTACCCATAGCAGGCGCCCTGGTGAGGGACCGAAGAAATGGAGGGATGTTCCTTCTGCGACTCCCTAGGGACGCCTCCAGATCTGCACCTGAGCCTGCCCCAAAGTCACCAAGGTGCATGCCGCCTGCACCCCAGGCCACTGCCTTCATCGAGGCCCGTCCGTGTATGCCGCTTGCACCTTCCAACGAAGGTGCGGCGGAATCGCACCCGCTGCATAGGAGTTGCGCCAGTCTATATGCACACTTGTCTTTCCCTCAAGGCTTGCTAGGAACTTTCATGCAAGACCTACAGCCGCTCATCCGTTCTCATTTTCGAAGAAAGGCATGCGCGTGAGCTGGTCTCAGCCAAGCGGAAGGCTAAGCAAGAGGCGATGCGAGAACTCAAGTTGAAGCATGTTGGGGAGCTCTATGACCTAGAAGCTAGATGCGACAAAGATTGGGCTGCCAAGCTTGAATAATAAGAGCACGATCAGAACTCATGGTGGAGCCAAAAAATCAAGCGACGAGATCGCCAACACAAAGAAGCCCTCGACGCGCAAAAGCGCGAGCACGAAGTGGGAGCGGCCAAAATGGAGCGCTCTTACCATCGCAAGGTCCGACGCTCCGCGGAACCCGCCCGCCAGACCGCCGACGAGCATTGGGACGACCTTCACTATGAGCTTACGACTGATCGAAACTACTTCTCAAGGAAACTCACCCAGGCGAACACGTCGAATGTGCGCCTTCGAAGAAAGACCGCTCGCTTAAGGGCTAGGCTCGCAGAGACTTGCTCACAGCTCGAAGAGCAAAGCGGCGTCAGGCAAGAAGCCGCCGAAGTTGGCAGCGTTTCGGCAGACTCAGAGCCAGAGGACGTCAAGTCTGGGTTTGTACCCCTCCGATCTCTTTTCAGTTCTCCAGAGCGATGCCAGTCAAACGTTGACTCAGGAGAGAGCGAATCGCAATCTGAAGACGAAGAGGAGGCCAAGGAAATTCGCGTTTCTGAAAGACCTTCACATGGACGATGGTCGTGAAGCAGCCCGCAAGGTGCCTTAGGACATTTGTCAGCCTACGTTGGCGGCAAAATTGGCTTTGGATTCCCTTGCTCCCCACCCTCCGCTCCTCTCCGAAGACAATCTTTGTCGAGGAATGTCCGACACACCGAGCTTCCACAATGTACACGGGTCCTATGTTTCTGCAGCTCACTTCCTCCTCAGACCTGATGTACCTTGTTGCTTGCAGAATGTAATCGCCACCACGAATTTCGGACGTGATGTACCACATGCTCGCCAATTGGAGTCTGACGATGCGCAGCGCAGTCCTGGCTGTCGTGTTTTGTTTCCGCGTAGATTCGGAGCTTGTAGCTCGCCCGCCCGCAAACTTTCTCGACGACCATCAAGACGCTGCTGCGACGGAGACTGCGGCGCACCGCGGGTGACCAGATATTCAAAGTGGCATTGCAGGCGGTTGTCAAGATACAAGGTGACCAGTGCCATCAATGAAGCCTCTACTCGTCGTCGTCCTCGTCATCCTCTTCATCCGCCTCATCCTCGCTAACCTCGATTCCCTTTTCTCTCATCTTGTTCTTATCCCTGACCCTCTTCTGAGTAAGCTCGTCCAACAGGATCAAGAGATCTTCCAACTCCTTTTCCAATTCCTCCTTGCTCTTTTCTCCTTCGACCTCTCCCTCTCCTTTCCCATCCTTCGCTGTGGTTGCGGCGGAAGTGTTGGCAGTAGAAGCAGCCTTGACAGCATCTTCCGCGTCCTTCTTGACCTTTCTAATTTCAGCTTTGGCGCTCTCCGCATCCGCTCGTGCCTTCTCGACGAGGGTCAAAGCGTCTGAAAGTTTCTTGTCAGATTCCTCCTTGCTCTTCTGCAAATCTATCAACCTCCCCTCTGCAGCCTTGGCTCGCTCCTCCGCAGCAGCTGCATCCGCTTTAGCCTTTTCTGCAGCCGCTTCTGCCTCGGCAGATGTTTGCGGCTGGGCGTCGTTTGACGAGACCTCTGCAGGTGCTTCGGCAGGCTTCGGGGCGTAGCGGGACTCGGCCAGCTCCCTTTCCCGCAAGTCCAAAGTCTCTTGTATTTTGGCCAGCTGGCTCGTCAGAGAGGCGCGCTGGAAGGACGCTGTGCAATCAGCTTCAACCTGACAGACCTCGACTTCGGAATGCAGACCCTCACCTCCTCTTCAGAGACACGAGTAAGCTCTTGTAATTTACTCTCGAGGAGCTCCACTTCCCGCGCCTGGCGTGTTGCGGTGTCGCGCAGGTGCTCTGCTTGCCTCTGAGCATCGAGCAGCTCAGCAGTCGCAGCCGCTGCATCAGCAGAGCTAGAGGTGGGTTCGATGGTGATAGACTTCTGAATTAACACTGCGCGCGGTACAAGCGTGACGGCGCCATACCATTAGCACAGCAAGCGATGAGAACACATACACGTGATCGACTCACCAAAGTTGTTCTTGAGCCATTCGACAAAGGGCCAGTCGAACCAGAGGCCATCTTCGCTGGTCTCAATTGGTCCTCCGCCTCTGCTGCTAATAGTTTCCAACACGTCTGGGCCCACATCCTTGATGCGCACATCATCTCGTAACCTAGCCAGTCTTGCTGCAAACTGATCTGGGCCTATGCGAGTGTTGAGGATGGGGTGCATGGTGCCTCTGTCGATGGAGTTCTCTGCGCCTTCCGTACCAGGTACCGCACCCCACTCGTATGCTATGCCGAGGATCAACGTGCACAGACCCGCAATGAGAACGTCCACGCCGCCTCCGCTCTGAGCGGCGGGCTGGACCAGCGTCTGCAAGTTGGAGGATTCGGAAAGCAGATCCGACACCGACGGCTTTGAGTCCCACAGCCAAACGGCCAGGAGGGAGAGGTAGCCGACAATGATTCGTGTCCAATCCGTGCTCGAAGGTTCCGCTCCAAGATCCGCAGCTGGAGCGCCGGCTCCAGCGGTAGCGTTCCTTTCTCTGCGCACAGCCTCTCCCATTTCTCTCTGCGCCATGGTGAGATTGCCAATGAGGACGTGAATCAGGCTCACTTCTTCATCCTCTTCCTCCTCTGCAGCACCGTTCGGTTTCGAGCCTTGCTTTCTGTATACAGGCTTGCCATCAGGCCCAAACCTGATTTCCCTGGCCATGCTCTTTGCCGTCTCGCTACCTCGCACGAGCGAACAGAACAGAAGTGCAGAAAAGAGATGTCGATAAGCATCGAAACGTTTGGCGCCCGGTTGAGGAGCAGGAAGTTGCGCCAATCCTTGCAAGAGCAGACTGCCCGCGCTCGTCCCCACGTCTTCTTCGTCGTTCGAGCCATCGGAAGGTGGGGGTGCCATGGTACTGATGATGCCTAATCGTGCATCGAGATTGTCCGCCACAAACGCGTCGAAGCAGCTGAGCGCTGCAGCGCGATAGCCCAGGCATGCGCTGGTTGCAGCCGTCCGAGCAACGGCCGGAGCTAAGCCGGACACTGCCGCGTCTATCAAGCAGAGAATGGCAGGTCGAGCTGGGAGACGGGTGAAGGTGAGAAGAGGAGCCTTGGGAGGTGGCGGTGCGGCGCCATCTGGACCTGCCGGTATCTCTTCTGGTTGCGCCTCGATGCCGAGCAAGGGGCAAATCAGCAGGGATGAGAGCAGATCTTGAGTCGAGCGAGAAGAATTTAACAGAGAAGAGAGCACGTTGAAAGCTTGTGCTTTGAGGCCAACCGGAGCTGTTGATGCGAGGGAAAGTTCGAGCAGTGCTCTTGTGAAGCCCGAGGCGAGTAGGGCATTCTACGGGAGGTGTGGTGGTCATGAGTGTGTAGTCGACAGCGTCACTGCGTCAGACAGCTTAGCGCTCACCTGATTGGCCCGTCTACCGTCTCCCTGTCCCTCGACCAACAATCTTGCAATACCGATGACCAGTCTCGCATTTCTCGCTTTCTGGCCTTCGGCGCCTTGGCCATTCGCCGAGACAGCCGCTGCAGCTGCAGCTTCCGGGTGCTGCTCCTCCGCTCCAAAATCGGCGTCTTCCCAAGACTGGAACGCAAAAGCCTCCAACTGCCTTGCATGCTCTTGTTCCGCTTGTCTGGAGGGAAACGCGCCATTGGGAGGAGGCGGTGGGTAGTAAAGCAGGGGAGCGAGCAGAGGGACGGAAAGGGTTTCGCGAAAGTAGTTCTGCGCGAACGAATCGTGCGGTCAGTATTTGAGGATCTGCAGCGATGATCGGGACATCATCGCCACAACGCACCTGATTGGACACGTTCCATCGAAGCAGCGACTCCAGACCTTCCAAGGCGTCCTGCACGATCAAGCCTCCTTCGATCCTTCCTTCTTGCGCCACGACATCGATTAGCTTCTCGAATGCACCTTCAAACGCAAACAACTTTTGGATATCCGCGTTGCTCTCCACCAGCCTAGGAATGAGTAGCAACGCTTCGTTTCGGACGATCTCGGCACTGCTGCCACTTCCTTCAGCCAAACAAGCCAGCACCGCGCCGCAGCCTCCAGGAGAAGTGAGGAGGTGTTCTTGCACGCTAGGCGTGCGCAGTCTAGTCAGAGTAGCGAGAAGCTGCAAAGATGCAAATCGAGTGTAGAAGCTCCGAGCCGGTGACAGCAATGGCAGGATGGAGTGGAGAGGCCCTGGTCTGGCTAATATCGCATCCACGTGATGGAGCACGTGAGGAGGGAGTGATGCGGGCTTGTTGGGCTGACTGGCGGGCGATTCCAGCAGCGCCAAAAGACACTCGACGATCGCACGAGCCATCTCGTCCTCCACGCCCCTTTCTGCTTTCGTGTCCCGCTGCAGCGACTCAAGCAACGCGGGCAAGGCCTTGTCGCCGACCTCGCGAGGATGATCACGAGCCAAGCCCTTGAGAGCCAAGACACTGAATTGGATTTAAGGAGTCATCAGCGGGACGACTCAGGGGCCTGCAATGCTGCCAAGCTCGAGCCGAGACACTCACGCTGCTTTTCGGTCTTGAATGGGAGCGAGTTCAGTCGAGGGCGTGTCGGTCAGCCGGGAGGCTAATGTAATGAGCGTCGTCTCCAACGTCTGCTGCTTGCCAGGTCCAGCCAACGAGGCGTACTTCTTCCCCAGCCATTCTGCACCGTGCAACATCTTGTCGTGATGCGCTTGAGCACTGGATGCTGTCTAAGGAGCCTTGGTGTTGGTATGCTGGCTAGAGCGGCCGACGAATGGCTGGATCGCGGTTCGCGCCGCTCTGATTGACGAGGTGTGTGAGGACCGGAGCGAAAGATGACAAAGTCAAAGCGGCCAGATTGCTTTCTCAGCGCGCTTCGACGAGACTCTGTTGCTGCGCGCGAATAGATGGACAAATTTTGATGGCGGTCAGGAGACGGAACGGGGTGTGCTCGGCTGTTGGAAGATTCGCGTGAAACTAGCTGAGGCGACGGCATGGTCGTGAAGGGGCGCGCAGGCGCAGCTTTGTGCTGGCGATTTCGTGATTCATGTGATGCCACGCATGCAGGCACGACAGCGGGGGTGCTCGGACCACTTTGAAGCCAATCACGTGATACGCTCGGGCCGCCGATACTCGAGCTCGAATTTTGAGTTTTCACGCAGATTCTGCGAGCGGCGGCAGGCGGCGCTTTCGCCATCTCGCCACGAAAATTGAATCGTGAATGGTATGGGACTTCTCTAATCGTGAATGCTGGGTGAGGTGGAGGTGAGGGTTCAAGGACGCGAGTTGTGATGGTTTCCGCCGGACCGCCTTTTGCCGCTTGAGGCATCCCTCTCGCCCTTACCACCATCAAAACTACGCAACGAGCTGCAAGCTGTGCATCAAAGCTCAAAGCTGTCGCTAATCTCAGAAATCAAGAATAGTCGACCACCGCACCCAAGAGCGAAGGCAGAGCGACACCAAAGGCAAACCCTTTGATTTCCGGTCGAAAAGCCTTTCTGTGCGTCTTGGCCATCACAATGTCAAGAGAAGAGGCAAGTCGAGTCGAGGAGCGTAATGTGGACGGATCGTCTTCCTGCTCGCCGCCTGATGTCAGACCCAGATGGTTCTACTCTTCCGAAAAGTCTTGGATCGACTTTGATGAGAGAGATCAGCAAGCCTTGGAGGCACGCTTCCAACAGCTGGGTGGAGCAGAGTGGCACAGCGAGATCAAGGCACAGCATACAGACGGCGATGAGAGCGAGTCGGAGCACACGGGCACTAGCGATGATGATGACGACGAGGCCCAAGGCCCGAGCTTAGATGCACGCAAGGGAGAGCAAGATTCGACAAAGCCTGACAATGACGAACAAAACGGACTGGGCTCGATGCTCACAGGCCTGATCTCTGGCAACGCCTCTGATCAAAAGAGTTCAGATGCATCTCGTAAGCTGGCCGACCAAGCCAAGAGCATCCCTCCAATTCGCACAGTCTCTCATAACTTCAAAAAAGCCAAGAAAGGATCCACATCTAAGGAGCCGGAAGTGGTGAGAGCTGTGTTGGATCCTGATGAGCCAGAAGAGGAGAGCAGGGCCAGAGTGGCGGTGCTGGAGGACAGGCTGTTCGACGTGAACCTGGAAAGTATGGACGTGAGTAAGCGGCGCGCGGCAAGAGGATTGAGACTTGGTGCAGGTCGGGGGCGCTGACAGGAGCATCGCTCATGACTGCATCGCAGCTCTATCCAGGTGAGGCAGCGATCGATCGATCAGGTGGACAACATCCGTAGAGCGATTTATGAAAGCGTGCTGACGGCTCCCACCGCCTTGCTTGTTCGTTCCTGTCGCAGTCTTCTGGAAGGGAGTAAAGCTGCGCGTGGTGCGGGCAACCTGGTTCTACTCTGCAGCTTCAGACGGAGGGTACGCGCCAATAGCCTACGACGAAGCCCTGGCTCGGGATTTGGACAACGCCTACACAGCCGTCAAGCCATGGCAAAAATTAGCGGGCCAAGAGATCGATGTTGATAATGGTTCGACTCAAGACCGCTCGAAGCAAAGGCAGGGCGATGAAGTCGACGACGATGAGCTTTACGAACTTCCCTCACTAAAAGCTCAAGGGAGAGTGCACTTTGAAAGTCCTGTAGGAGGTCGTATCTTCACGTGAGTATCTCCAAGTGACGCGACATATCGTCACGAGCTCATGCCCATCATCATTTGGCCTCAGCGAGGACCTTTCGGGAAGATTACTGTCGATGGTCGGCGGATCCCGCGTAATCAGAGGTTTCGATGAAGCAGAGAGGTTAGCGAAGGCAGGTGGGGCGTTGAACCAGCTTCCCGCCTTCACCTTGCCTTTTGCCAAAGGCTCTGATCCTGATGATGAAGAGCAGGATGCAGCGGGAGATGAAGACGAGCGCGTAGATGGCGGGGCGGAAAGGCGAGGCGCTCGGCACGCTAGCAAGCGTGCGGGAGCTGCTTCTAGGCCTGGCAAGCCCTCCGCTCAGGAGCCTGAATCTGCAAACTCAGGCAACGAAGAGTCGGGAGGTTTCATGTCGAAATTAGTACCTTCGAGTGGATGGCTGAGACCCGACGTTGCGCTCTTGAGGACCCTAGGGTACGGAGAGGAAGATGCGGAAAGGGAAGCCAAGAGAGACCAGAGACAGAAAAACACGGAAGATTCTGCAAAGACGGGAACGAAGAGGAAAGAGGAGGAAGACAATGGGGATTCTGAGGAGGAGGAGGCAGAGGAGGATAGGAAAGACGAACCCCCATCGTTGGTCCTGTGCATACATGGGTAAGCAATGCCCCACAACACGAAGGATGTAAAAAAACCCTGGACGCGGACTTCGCTGACGTCCACCTGCTCGCTCACAGTATTGGCCAGGGTCTAGTGGAGGATTTCGATGCCCTCGACTTTGTCTATGATGTTGGTGAGCATGATTGCCCCTGTCAGAATCCAGAACCTGGATTAATGCTAATTTACGACGCTCATACTTTGCAACTCAAGAACGTCTACGCAAACAGGCAAAGTCGAGCGCGAGCGACCCTGCTCTCAAGAGATTGTCGAGAGGCAGAAGAGCGCAATTCATACCCATTTCTTGGAGACAAGGCTTGACGTTCCAATCGAGCAATGAGCAGAATGATAATGAATATGGGTGAGTAGATGCAGCGCGGAAGCTCAAGCAGGTGAACTTCCTTGCTCACAAAGCTACTTTTCTTGGACCAGGCTGTCTGATATCAGCAACAGTGCCGCAATACCGTTGGTGCGGAACGTCATCAGTAAAGTGGGTAGCCAGCTCTCCACAGAGACTTGCGCGTGCTGAATTTGCCTGACCACTTTGTTGCGGACACAGGTCATTCTGGATGTGCCCTACTATCTCAGTCACCACAGAGAAAAGATGGTACGTCTTCAAGGTCGCGTGACTGGGGAAATGTGCAGCTGCTGATTGCGTGCTCGTCGTCAGATTGCTGCTGTGAAGAGCGAGTTGAATAGAACGTACCGACTGTGGTGCAAGAGGAACCCCGACTTTCTTGAGAAGGGTGGGCGAGTCTCGATGATATGTCATTCCTTGGGTAGCGCCCTAGCAATGGACATGTGAGTTGTCAACAGGCCTGAACGGATCCTTGGCACTTCTAACTCATCCACCGGTCAACTCGAATAAAACAGTCTTTCGCAACAGCCCACAACAGTCGCACCGTTACATCAGAGAAGTGAGGAAGAGCTGCGTTCTAATGAACACTTAGTCTTCGACGTCGCGGTGAGTCCAGTCGCTCCGCGGCGTAGGCATGCCCTCTTTCAGAGGCGTCCGTTCTGACGCACAGTCCTTGCAGAACCTGTTCCTCATCGGTAGCCCGTGCGGATTCTTCTTGCATCTGGGAGCTGGCCAGCTCATTGCTAGGCGAGGCACCAAGCGCACGAGAGATGTCGCTGGAGATGCTGCACTCGAAGAAGCGGGACGTTACGGTTGTTTGGCTGCTGAGGCAGTGTAGTGCGTAATATTCGCTAGTCATTTTCGCGAGAATCAGAGGCAGATGTGGCTGACAAGGGTGACTCCTGCTTTTCGAATAGCAATTGCTACAACACGACGGATCCGTGAGTAAATTCGGAACAGCTATGTGCTGAGCGAGATTACGCTGAAATCTTTCTTCTCGTGCAGTGTCGCCTACCAGCTCAACGCCACTGTCGATCGTGATTACGCGTCTTTGATGCGGCCCGTTTCGATTCCGGACGCAACGGATGCTTTGCTAGATTCTTTATCCCTGCCTCGTCTATCAGTGTCTAAGCTCTTCGATCCAGATCGGCCTTTCTCTAGTGGGGAAGATGCCTATGCCAAAGCGAATGTGCAGCCGACCACGTCAGCCTGGGAGGAGGACCAGAAGAGAAAGGGCAAAGGCGGTGCGAGCAAGAAGGGCAAAAGCGAAGAATCCAAGCTGGCCAACGGCGCGGTTATCGTGGAGCAGGGCGAGACGCTGAAGAAGATGCAGCCTCAGATGCAGGCTCGTCAAGCGGGTCGCAGCGCTTATCCTGTTGATGTCAAGAGACTAGAGAAAGCTGAGCGGCGAGTGAGTCTGCTTGCGCCAGCGTCCTGCTCTAAGAGCAGACGCGCTCACGCCACGACCTTTGCACCAATTAGTTCCGTGCACTCAACCCCCATGGCGCGATAGACTTCTTTTTCGAAACAAAAGGATTCAACGAGGTGAGTGGCGTCGCGATAGGGTGTGGTGGAGCGGGCTCGTGCTGACCATCCGTACCGCGCTCTTCACAGTATTTGGGTGCGTTACGATGCTACTTGCCAATGTCCAGGCTGTTCACTGAATCACGCTTTGCTTTCCTCCCTTTGCCCCGACTGTAGACATGCTCTCGGCTCATGTCAGGTGCGTGCATCTCTTTCTCTCTTGAAGCATGGTCACGCAGCTGATCTAATCGTCGTGTGTCGGACCAGCTATTGGACCTCTCCATCCTTCTCACGCTTCGTGCTGTCGCAGCTTTGGACGGACTATGCTGGACCAGAGAGCAAGCGACAAGACGCTTCGGAGCAAGAGCCGCCGCCTACGATTGTTCCTCAGCTCGATGTAGATGTGCCAAAGGAGAGGGAAGAGGAACAATCCAGACAGGAGAAGCAACAAACTTAGGAGTATACGCTCCGCCGCATACAAACTACCCTTGGGGAGCTGGCAAGCGGTCGCAAAGAAGACTGTTCGTTGCTTTGCAAGGTCTGCGCTCAACCAACATCGCGTAGATGCTTATTCCATAGAGTCGACCCGCCGCAACAGCGCTGCTTAACGAAGACGCCGCCACCTGCACTGACTAGTCGACGGGAAGCAGAGCGGCTCATGTCACTTCCAGGCGATGCCATGGAGTCCACATTTCCCTTTCTTGCGAACGCTGGGTAGCTTACAATTTGTCTCCCTTGAAACGACATGATCCGCAGCCGCTAATTGACACAGCGCAGTCCGCGCCGCACTTCATCAACGAGTAGATGCAAGACCAGCGAATGCTGGGATCGCGCAAGCTCGATGGTTGAGGAGCGAAGACAAGCGTGGAGTCCCAGCTTTTGCGTCAAAGCATCGATTTGTCCATTTGAAATGCTCTTTCTTGAGTTTCCTCACAGGCTGCTGTTTAACAGCAAATTGTCTATAAATTGACAGTCACAGTGATTGAAAGATCAATTTGAGTCTTGTCGAGTTGAACGCACGTGACCCACACGTCGCGCGTCTTATATGCACACTAGGTCCATACCCGTGAGATACGTCGTTGTCTCCACGACAGAAGAGGCTTTGAGCGTCCTAGGCCTTACATTCTTGGTTCATGATTAATAAAGATTCTATGGTCGGAAGAGTTCTGCGTGAAGCTCACGTGATTGACATTCGCACAAGCATGTTCGAGCTCTCCCCGCCGCGCGACCTGCTTGCTGATGTACCGCTCATCGATTCAAAGGTGCATGGAATGCGGCGAATCTGGAGGGGAGGCACAGCCAAGGGTTGATCAGCCATGGAGGGTCGGCCGAAGCTAGGGACTTTCGTTCCGTTCGCTGGACCTCGCGCATGCATCATACATGCCGTTGCATATGCCAAGAAGCGGGCGCCTCATGCACGCGGCAGGGGTCGCGCCACAGTTAATTGATGAGCATGCACGAGGTCACAAGACCTTGACCCGCTCTTGTTTCGTATCATGCATGCAGTCACGAGTGCTCGCGCGCCCACCCAATCGTCAATCGGCCCCTGTGATCCGCCGACCCACCATTTAGCGGTGGACCAAGCATGCATGCAGCAACATGCGAGAGGGCAGCTACATAGGTGCGGTACACCCTTCCAGCACCCAACGGAGCTGCAGGCCCGCATTAATTCCCTGGCGCGGATGAGCGAGCTCGACCGATTACATTGTGATTCACGATCGTACAGCAGGGTCTGTTTGACGACACGAGCGTCGTTTTCATCAGCCCTGACTCGCGCTGCACCTGCAGGTATAGGTGTTCACGAGTCGCGAGTCTTTGCATGGCTGGTGCGCATGAGAGATGACTGCGTGTCGTCGTTGATGATGCCAAGGCATGTAAAAAGTCGCACATGCGTGATTCAACAAGTTGTTGCCTTTTTCCTGCTACAATCGAGCGCTGATGCTCGCACGACCAGCACGTCTGAGCGTGAGACAGGCAGCATATAACAAAACGAGAGGGCTTTTGCCGTGGGTTGCGACAGTGTCCATGCGAGTCACAATTAAGTGTGAGAAGTAGGCTGAGGCTACGTATGTAGGTTGCTGGACGTTGAAGCGATAAAGCGCTTGCTTGCATGACCAGCGAAAGCTTGCAAGGAAGCAGTACACAGCTGAGCCATGCATTGCGGTAACGAACGCCGTCAAGCTCATTCTTGATCTGAAACGTGGCCCATATTCAACCCCTCCCTGACTTAATTGCTTTTGTTGGACCCGCCTCGCTTCATCCCTTGTCGCGGATCGAGTCGCGTGCCGCTGCAATCCCACCCTTCGTGGCGGCACGTAAGCACGGTCGCGCGTCTTCTCGTCTTCTGATACAAATTATTTGAAATTCGTGATTGCTTCTTTGCAGCCTGTTCTGACGACCCTGCAACTCCAAAAACTCACGACTGAAGACTGGACTTACACCTGAAGGTGTACATCATCATGATCAGGATGAGGAGCTGACACAGCCACGTCGCATGACTGGAATCGCGTGAGTAGTCTCGCAGGGTATACCCAATGCACGGTCTGGGTGATGTGCTTAACAGATAAACAGCTAGAGCTCGTCGGAATGCAAGCTAGACACAACAAGCTCGCCGAGCTGGGCAAGTGGGACCGAAGATGATGAGCTACTGTGTCTGTTGTAGATCTGACCTGCCCATGCTTTGGCAACTGGTATGCTGCCCCGCGACTCGCCCATTCGACAAGCGGCAGCGATGTCAACAGTTGAAATGCGCGCATCCACGTCGGCGATACAAACGCTGGACTGGACGAGGAGCAGTCGGACTCTGAAACTGATTGAGCGTCCATCAGGCGTCATTGCAGCTAGCCCGGCATGCGCACAGCCCGCGGCAGGCACCAACACCTTCATCGATCGCTGCTGCTTTTCTGCCTTTTAGCCCCTTCTTGGCTTCGCCGGGAGGGGCGGGAACGCGCCAAGGGTGGACCACATCACACGACCAGGTCCACCTTGCTTGAATTTTTCAACAGCCGCGCTGTACATCGATCAAGCTTGAAGATGTTGCACCGCCCCCCGTCCTTGCAGCAGCAGCAGCCGCCCCCCCACCACAAGTATAAGGCAGACTGCGCCATTGGGCTAGCTAGCTGTGCTCCTGCATGGATTCGAGATTGACTTTTGACCGCGATGCTGAAGAGCAAATCGTGAATGAGTGAAAGCAGCTGAGCAGCCCTAGACTCACACTGTAGCTGATGGGGTACACGACCCGCATTCCTCGCTCACATCACCGACGGAACCAAAGTGCCGAGATATCATGCGGGAATATGATGCGGGCGCAGGAGCAAGACGACTCACCCTCGAACGTCCCAGAGCTCCCCTCCCGTCGAAGAGAGCAGCAAGCGCTTCACGTCAGAGCTTGGCGACTCTGGTGGGTGCAGCGAGTCAAGCCTGATCGTCGAGTTGCTGAGGCTTCAGAAGGCGCCATGCAAGGCGTGCAAAAATGATGATACAAGTCGTGAGTACGAGGTCAGATGTGTGGGACTTGCATGGGCGCCGTTCAAGATGAGTCACCGATACAGATGAAGAGATCGTTGCTGCGTGACTGCAAATTTGCCTACGGCTCGAGCGGCTTGGCGACTCTGCAAATGCGGTGTTAAATCAGTCAGTCAAGGTGCGATCAAGCCGCATGCGACTGGCGTCGGTGACGACGTCCGAGCTCGCCAGGAGAGTGTACTATCGACGCCTCTTTAGGACCTTTCAATCGCGCCTAACAGCGAGAACGTCGATCGGGATGTTGGCATTTTTTGCATTTTCCATCTTCACTCCGACCACACCTCTTACCTACAGATCTTGCATCAACCACATTCTGTTTTGGTCGTCGTACTGCAACGTGATACCATTCCAGTGTAAGGCTTTCATCCATGACTAGCCAGCACTGCGCTGCGCTTCTCCTCTAGCACACCTGCATGCGGACATCATGTCGCCAATACTCCTCTACCTCGTCGGCTTGGCACTCATTTTCCTATTCGTGCCCATGGCGATGGGCAAGTTGAAGCCTCGGACTGTGTTGCACCTCGTGCAGCACTGCCATGCGGTGCTCCTGAATGGCAAGAGCCATTTGCGGTGGTTTGGCGGGCTTTTGTTCGGCATACTGCCTCCCGTGGTCTGGACACTCAGCTTCAAGATGGCCAGAAAGCTGCCAAACGAATGGAGACCTCAGGTGAGCTCCTTGTGATTGTTCCCGTGGTCCTACGACGAGAAAGACTGCTTGCTGAGTTGTAGCGGTGCTTTCATATCCTCGTTCAGATTCGGACGCTGTTGCTCCCCCAGTTGGAATCGCTGCTGCTCTCACCGGGGGGTGTCGCAGTATTCACGCTTGCTCTACTGCTTCCAGTGCTTTATCTCCGGCGAAAAGTCCAAGACCCCCGTCCAATCTACCTGCTGCTATTGTACCCGGCTTGGATCAAGGCCTTGAACGCTGTCGCGCTCGGAACGACTTGGGTGCGTGTCTTACAGAGGCTACTCCACTTCCGTGCTCTGCTGCTATACTCATGATGAATCGGCTCCATTTCGCAGACTGACTTTCAGGATGTTCTCGCATGGGTGTTTTACGGCGTTCTCCACTTTGCTTCACCCTTCTTGATGGGATGGTGGGCATGGGGATTCGCGCCGACAGGCGCGGCCCAAGCGTTTGGGTGGGCATTGGGCCTGCAAAACTTAAGCGGAGTAAGTCTAACCATCGATGGGGCCCAGGCCAGGAGACGATGGGGCTACGTGTGTTGAACCACTCCTTTCCACTTCTGCGCGCAGCTCTGTATCCACCTGGCTTTCCCAAACGCCGCTCCATGGTACAAGGATACATACGATGCGACTGTCGTGCCAGACTATTTCTTCCCTGGGTCCGCAGCAGGGCTGGTCCGGGTAGATGCGGTGCTGGGGACACACCTCTACACCAAAGCTTTTCGGAAGAGCCCGGTCGTCTTTGGAGCATGTGAGTGCTGAATTGTCGTCGGCTCTGGCCTCACAGAGGAGCGTCCAGCGAGTGCTGATGTGTTCGTGAACACTGTTATGGCCAATTGCAGTACCCAGTCTCCACGCTGCGACGGCCATGTGCATCGCCTGCTTCGTGGTAAGGTATGGCGGGAAAGCTGGCGCAGCTTTCGCGCTCATGTACACCTCGTTGATGTTCTGGAGTACGCAATACCTGCATCATCACTATGCCGTAGATTTGGTGGCTGGCTCGTGAGTAGCTGCTTTCTCCTGTTGATGCGTATCATTAGCTCGGCTTCTGATCCGTATCTTCCCCTACAATCTTCGCAGCGCCATATCGCTGGCCTACTTCTGGCTGATCTCTCGGATAGCGTTGAGGCGCATCGACGACTCTTTCGTGCGCGACGCAACCACGCGCGGTATCGATCGGCTGCTCTGTCGCCCTGCACCACATGCTAATGACGACGACAGAGTGGCAAGGGAGGACTTGGAGGCCGCGAGGCCGAGCGGTCAGTGGTCCGTCTCACCTGGCCAAGCGCCGGCACGTCAGGTCACGCGAGGGAGGTTCTTTGGACAGAAGTCCCTGGATCCTGTGCCCGAGAAGGAAGAAGGTTCTCAAGAGAAGTTAGAGCTTGTCGAGCGGAGCAGCGGTAGCTCGCACACCGACAGCGGCTCGGATGACAGTCGGCGGAACAGCTCGGAGCATCTCTCGATAGCATACAAGCAAAGATAGATGGACGAAGAATGGCAGGCTTGAACACCGTGAATGCCAGTTCGGGATGGTGGGATCTCTGGTCCCGCAAAAGTTCCAATCAGCGCGTCTGCTGCGCGCATGCCAGGTACTCTTTCACGGAAGTCGTCCCTTGCTTGATCCGGTGCTACGGACTAAACGAACACCTGCGCTGGCCTCGGATGCTGAAGTGAAGTGAGATAGAAATCCAGGAAGTCCGCAGCTTGCTCGCGCACGCGCCAGTGTGAGGAGGAGTGCTCAGCGAGGCGAGCTCTGAAGCAACTCTGAAGAAGAAGCGCGCCGCGAATGAGACTTCTTAAGAGGTTGCGCGACAGCGAGGGTCGCCGAGGAGATCTAGTCAAGTCTTGATCTGCACTGCGGCTTCACATCTACTTTTGACGCTGAGCAGCACACAATATACCCACCCCTTGCCCACAAGTGACCTGTGTGTGCTGCTGCGCACTGTGCTAAATCTGGTACCTACATCGGAGGACCGGCGGTACATGCCGCGGCCGGCGCGGCTGAGATTGGATTTTGCGAACATGATGGGACAGGCAGCAGCATGTTTGCTACGGTCATCATTCCTGTTTGTCCGTTCGGGACTCGTTTCAGCCCAGCGGAATGTGCAGATGAGGCCCCGATCAAAATAGCGTCCAAAATCTCAACGGCAGACCACGCATGGCCTGGGAGACGTTGAGAGGCTCGACCGGTAGGTCTATCCATGTACCTGTACCGTACCGCACCGCACCGCACCGCATGCTGGCTGTGCTTCGGACGCGGGTGTGTTCCTGCTTGAGGTTGCGGGCGCGCGAAAGCCTGCTGCGCATCTTGTGTTACAGATTCAGGTGATCACCCTCGAGCGCTTCGCGATCGACGCCATCACCGCTTCGACTGTCTTCTTTTGAGTGGGCACCTCAATCACCGTCACGGATGTCGAGAGTCACTTTTCATCCCTCTTGACTTCAGACGAAGCATTCAACTCAAGGCTCCAAGCCCCTTCGTGATCGATCTCACGTGCGAGCTCATGCATGCCAGCGGAGGTCAAAAGGCCAACCAATGTGAATGCGAATGAATGCGCTGCACGGGCGAGGCCCGTATGTTCGTTTTTAAACGTTGCGCGTACCTCGTTGCTGGCCACTGTGACTGTGCCCATTTATGGCTGGCGCATCCTCTTTCTTGGCTTCCGCGAATCGTCTTGGGCGCGCATTCATTCACGTTAGCGTGGCGAGGAACGTGTTCCAGTTCCACAGAGGCAAAGCGTGCATGATGCCGCGCGCGCGCGCGCATGTTATAATATGTTGTGCGTAGGTTCCGCATCTGAAACGAGCCTGCGGTATTTTGCGGCAAGGCAACAGCTAATTTTGAATGCCGCGATAAACACAGGAGCTAGCACAGCCAAGCAGAAGCCGCACGCATGCGCGGCCGCCCACAGGGCAGGGGAGGCTCTCGTTGCTCCTGCTCCTGCTGCTGCGTGCTGCCTCCTGCCCGTCATGTTTGCCGCCGCTGCTCTTGTCCTTTGCCGGCGGGGCGAGGATGGGGTGGCGAGTGTTGCATGAAGATGGTTGGTTGGCTGTGCTCAGACAGACGCCAGCTACGAACAGACTTTGACGTCAAAACAGCTAATCTTCAACGTCGCCTTGATCGCTCACATCCACATGGCTCACTCATTTTTGGCCACTTGTGATTCACAGTTACGTATTTTGACTCTCTACAGGCTGTTCGTCTCAACCGTCTCTGATTGCATTTCATTTGCTCGAATAGCCTCTCATCAAATTTGCATCGCACACATCAGCTTGCAGTATCGGCCGCCCATTAAGCAGCAACCCTTGCCCTAGTATCAACTCGCGGCGGTCGTGAGGCGACAGGCAGTCATTTCATTCAGGTGCTCTTGTCTTCTGATCCACCTTTTTGGCCATTCAACAACGCTTTCTGAGCTTCATCATGGCCAGTCCAAAGCAGCCAGAAAGCATCCTACGAAGGGACAGCACTTCAGAAGTTGGTTCCACTCGAGCTGGATTGATCCAACGACCTTCCAAGAAGACAACGCTGGCCTTGGAGTCGCAAGAGGGTAGCAGTACCAGCAGCAACGAAGCATCTGGCGAGAAGGGTGCTGGAGGCGATTCGAGCCTGGATAGGCTAGGTTCGGGTAGTACTGGTGCAGCTGGAATCGCATCTGGTGCAGTCGGCGACGCATCGGGCATCGGGGGCAACTCGACTGGAGCAGCGAGACGATCCAGCACTGCGGCCAATTCCTCCAGGAGAAATTTGACAAAGGGGGAGAGCGAGTCTAGATTGGGCTTGGGTGGCAATGGACCTCCCAGAAGAATGACGATGACGAGCGAGAGGCAGCTGTTGGGAAGAACGTTGACCAGCTTGTTGACTCCTGAAAGGCCTCTCGCTGCTGCTCCAACGCACTACCGGAGCTTCATCAACATCATCAAGTACAACCCGCTCAACATCTTGTTGCTCTGCATTCCAGTCTCTTGGGCTCTTCATTTTGCTCTCGATCAAACTCAGAAGACTCCTCAGCTCGTCACCTTCATCATGTCCTTTTTGGCCATCATGCCCCTCGCCGCTCTTCTTTCATACGGTACAGAGGAGGTAGCGCTGCGTGTAGGCGAGACACTCGGAGGCTTGCTCAATGCTACCCTAGGAAACGCCGTCGAGCTCATCGTGGCCATTCTCGCATTGATCCAATGCCAATTGGTCATCACTCAGACTTCGCTGATAGGCAGTATCTTGTCCAACTTGCTGTTGGTGCTCGGCATGTGCTTCTTTGTAGGAGGTATCCGCTTCAAGGAGCAAGAATTCCAACAGACAGCAGCTCAACTCAACTCTTCCATCTTGGCAATGGCTGTTATCGCTGTGCTCATCCCAGCCGGCTTCCACGCCACGCTGGGCATAGATGTAACGGACGACTTGGAAAGGTCGGAGCTTTTGAAGGTGTCGAGAGGCGTCTCTATCATTCTGCTCTTCATCTATGCTGGCTACCTCTACTTTCAACTGAGATCCCACACGCATCTCTACGCGTCTGAGGCAGAGGAGGAGGAGGAAGTGACACTTTCTCTCCCCATGGCTGTGGGCCTATTGGTAGTCTCTACTGTGCTCGTCGGCGTCAGTGCGTATCGCGTCATCTCGAACTGACGAGTCATTGTTCCCTTCATACTGACATGTTCACTGGTCTTGATAACCACAGCATCCGAATGGCTCGTGGACGCTATTGACGGCTTCAGCGACAACTTTGGGGTCCCCAAGACCTGGATCGGATTGGTTCTTTTGCCGATCGTATCCAACGCCGCAGAGCATGCCACTGCAGTCACCGCATCGTACAAGAACAAGATAGACTTGGCTATGGGTGTCGCGGTCGGCTCAAGCATCCAGATTGCGATGTTCGTCATTCCCTTGCTCGTCGTTATCGCTTGGGGCCTGGACAAGCCGCTCAGCTTGCTCTTTGATCGTGCGTGCTTCGCTGACGTGTCGACGCACTTGTACCACACTGATAGCATTCGTTTTCCTTTGCAGCATTCGTCGCGATCCTGCTCTTCTTGGCTGTTCTCATTACAAATTACGGTGAGTCTCGCTGTGTCACTCGCTCATTCTGTTCACCTTGCGGCTCGAGTTGACTTGTATTCGACATCATTGCAGCCATTGCGGATGGACGCTCGAACTACATGGAGGGTTGGCTGCTGATGAACACATTCATCATCATAGCCTTGGTTGCGTGAGTATTACGCTTCAAGTCCCACGCCCCTACTTTTTCATCTCTTTGCTCATTCTCAAAAACATATCCATTTTTATCCTCTCAGCTGGTTCATTCCGGACGGAGGGTCTCTCTTCTCCGACGATTACTGCAGGACTGGAGTGCCCTGATCCCGCTCAGTATCGCTATCATCGTCGTCCGCAAAACGGGTCACAACCACGATTTGTACATACTGTTGTGACGCTAGCCATGTGAGCTCAGCAGCTCGGCCTGTCATCATACCTCCATTTTGTCGCATGGCGCAGAATAACGTCGGCTTGGTGCTTGAGAGGCGGCGCTATTCTGGATTGACCACCAGCGACTTGCGATGCTCGAGAGTGTTGGTCCCCTTGCTCGTCAGTCAATTGCTTTGGGGAATGTCGGTCGTACGAATTGTTCTCGATGTATAACAAGTCGTCGAGACTTTTGGCGAGCGAAGCCGAAAAGCCGACGTGCAGAGACTCGATGCTCAAAATCGCACCCGAGCGCGAACGTGAAATGGGCTCACTGATCTCCGAGCACTTGTGTCCAAATTTTGACCATCGGAGAACATCTGTCCCGCGGAGGTCCCCTGTCTGCATTAAACTCGAGGACGCGAAAGGTTCGGATGGCCGTCTTATGCGTAGATTTGTGCAGCGTAGCGCAGAAAGAAGCTGCTTGAAATCGTGCATCGTCAGCATGAGCACGGGGTGGGACATCGCGCCGACACGGACGACCGCGGCCACACATCGCGAAAGGGCACAACAGTCACAGTGCGAGTGCTGCACATCATACGCCGTACGTCATCGATGCATAAGCACGCATAAACGGCACAACAGCAGCAGCGACGAGCAGGCCACGCGTCACGCAAGTATATAGGGACCGGGCCAACCAGCATGCTGCCCTCGTGACCGGCCGGTGCATGCTGACTGACTGACTTGCTTGAAGCATCGTCATCAGCATCATCATCATCAACAACGCGTACGCGCGTGATTTCCCCGCGCACTAGCGCACAACGGCGTCATCGTCTCGGCTAGCACGGCCGGCTCTGCTGCTGCTGCTGCTGCTGCTGCTGATGATGATGATGATGTCGCCGCTCTCCTCCACAGCAGCGCTAGCAGCAACGAAGGTGGGCAAACAAGGCTTGGTTCACATTCCTGCGACTTTTAACGTGTCGTCATCGCCCATTCAGGATCTCATCAGCGCCGCGGTCGCGCGGTGCAGAACAGAGGCCCTGCCTGCAAGCTTTGAGATGCCCCCTCGAAGAGCAGCAGCGGAGCGGCAGCTAGGTATGACTGCTTGCTCGCTCGCTATATCAAGCTCCTCCCAGATCGTGGCGTCAAGGGTGAGTTTGAGTGCAGCAAGCAGCTCCAAGCCGGAGCTGCGCAGCTGTTTGTCCTAGCTAGCTGCTCCTTCGTGAGTGAGAGGAAGGCAAGTCTGGCAGACATTGACCGAGCTAGCTGATCGATCCGTCCGTCGCCGAGAAAGGGCATGCATTCACGATTCTCTTTGGCGAAGGGTCAATTCCTGAGCCAGAATCACAAGCCAAGACGCGCGCCTCGCCTCCCAAGAGTCAGCAGGAACGTTGATCTCTTGAAAGAAAGGAGTTTCAAGTCTGAGCGAGGCACCAGCATGCGGTCACATTTGAGCAATCAGGACACCTGACACGAGCTTGCACCCTTGCTAAGAATCTCTAGCGCTGCGTCACAGGAGGAACAATTGAATGATGTAAGCATGGTCGTAATGCAGACCAAATCGCTTTTTCCGATGCTTAAGTCTGATGAGTCCTGCAGCTCATGAATGATTGCGGCGAGCATGACGTGCACACAACTCGTGTCGTGAGTACAAGGTGACAGACACAATACGCTTCGATTAGAGGAACAGTCACCAGTCACGAGTGTAAGTCACGAGTGGGTGCTTGCAATGGCTTCGTGTGGAGCTACTTGCGGAGTGTGAGTGTGAGTGTGAGTGTGAGTGTGAGTGTGAGTGTGAGTGTGAGTGTGAGTGTGAGTGTGAGTGTGAGTGCAGCAGAGGAGAGAGGATGGAGCAGGCTAGCCTACTTGCTGCATGCCCGTCGTGCGCCTCTACAGCTCAGTGCTTGGTCGCCCTCTCGCCAAGTCGTGAGTGGTGAGTGTTGCTGCTGCTGCCCAGCACCTCCGATGTTCTTGGAGATTTGGAGATTTTGATTCAATTCACCCGCTTTCGGGTGTTGACAGCCAGCCAGCCAGCCAGCCGAGATCTCTTCAGCTACTGTAGCTTCATTATTGCGCTTCTTTTCTACTCGCCGCCAATAGGCTGGTGGTATGTAAACTGTACAATCGAATCCATCCGCCTTGCACGCAAAGGGTCGCACAGCAGCTCCACTTGCGTCCGCGATCCCAAATAGGCCGAAATCGTGAATGACATCGGAGCTAGCTAGGCGACACCGACACGATTGCAGAAGAGTTGCGCATGTGCGTAGCAAGCCCGGCTTGTGAGGCAGAGCGATATCCGCCTTGATCATTCATTCCTCTTTGCCCCCACTGCCCCTTCACAATTTACACATTTGGCAGTATCCACCAGGTCAATCTCAATTTCACCTGAGCTCGAAGCCGTTTACCGTCTTGTCTTCAAGCCACCAGCCTGACCTCCGCAGCCGCTGGGCGCTCGTCACATCGATCTCCAAACACATCGCAGCGATTGGCGGATCCAACAAATCGCTCTCTTGAATCGAGACTTTGCCTAGTATGATGGCGGCACCACCCTTGCTGCGGCGAACATCGTCGTCTTCGCGTCTCTCCTCGCAGAACTACGTTCGCAGCCCAGGCCACGCTCAAGAGTCGCCCCGAGCGATGAGCAGGAGCTTTTCCAACAGCTCCAATGGAAGAGATCCCCTCGAAGACCTTTTGGCTGCCGCTGCAGCTGCAGCTGCTGCAAAGAGCGTTAGTCCCCCGGGACCGTCCAGCCAGCCCGCTAGCAGCACGAGCCCAGCGGAAAGCTTGCCTAGCCTAGCCCAAGCCCTCGGCACGATCCCAGCGCACGATCGCCAGTCCTTCGGTAGTGTTGCAGGCGCAGCGCATTCTCCGCACACTGTTGCGCCGTCGCGTGGCCGGGAGGAGCAAGGGTACGCAGAGACTGTTGGGACCTACCCATCATCTATGGTTGCAGGTCCAACGAACGCTTTCCAAGGTTCCAACGCCTCCGCCTATCCATTTCCTCGTCCATACACCTCGCATTCTACACCTTTTCCCCTCCCCTCGGGTTCCGACAGCGCAGGAGCATCGCACAGTCTCGCGCAGCCAGGTCATTCCCTCCCGTCTTCTACCAGTCAGGCGCCGGAGAAGAGATGTTTCTATCTGCTCATAACACCCTCGCTGGAAGTTTTACATGCGGATCCTGCACTCGATGCTACAGTAGTCGCTCACCTGCGCAACGAGGACCTGACCAAGTTGATACACGAAGAAGAGCGCGCTCGTGCGTCGGAAGAGATGAAGGGCGTGATTGCGAGCAAGGCTTTGTTTGGGAGCGTGACTAGGTGAGTCGAATTGCTAGCTGTCGGGCAGATCCTGGCCTGGATATGAGCTTCACTGCAGCGCGCGACGGTTGCTGAGGCATGTCATGCCCAACGCAGGTGTCGATTCTCCAAGCAACGCAGCATCGAAAGGGTGTTGGGACGAGCGGACACGTCGAACGCTGGTAGTGGCGTGGAGGAGAGCGACTTTCTACCGGTCGACATTGTGGTCAATTGGATTGGCGAGCATGTAGCCCTCGCCTTCTTTCACGCTGTCCTTGGTGAGTGTCCCGCGTCTATTCGTGTGGCTTGGCGTTGCTTTAGCGCCCATGGCACGCGCTGACCGAGGCATGCAATGCGGCCATCGAAATGCTGCAGACAATTCAGACGAAGATAACGACGAATCCCAGAAGAGTGCTTGGAGCAATTGGTGCGGCGCGGAAAAGGAGAACCTTCAGCAGGACGTGAGTTTGGATCTTCTGCCGGCTGTGTCCTCGTCATGCCGCCCCCGCCTGCTGATGCCCTTTCTGCTGTGTTGCCACCTCTCGGCCTTGACAGTATACGCAGCGGATATGGAGCGACGTTCTAGCTTCGAGACCGCCCGCGAGCTCTACAGCTTCGCCTTCCTTCGTATTTCAGATCCTGCGCAACGACGCCAGCCCATCGATTCTGCTCTCCTGGCCTCCTCCACGATTATTCCCCTCAACAGTCACAGCTCCGCGTCACTTTTTGGGCCCGGACCCAGCTTTCACCGACGGATCCTACTTTGCCTCTGATTTTGCTGCGCTTGCGCAGGGCATCTCAGCATCTGGTCAGGCGGCGGGCAGCGATGCGAGCACTTCTTGCACAAGGAGAGTCAGAGGAAAGCACTCTCTCACTACCGAGGCGCGCTTGAGAACCGTGGAAAGCGTACTCATTCCGTACGGAGCCATTACTTTTGCCTGTTTCTCCATCACCTTTGACCAGCCTTTGGTCAGCGCGATTCCGGATCCTCTACCTTCGGTCGCTGAGCTGAAACCCCGACTGTCTAGACTGCCTACGCCGCCACCAAGCATCAAGACGAGCAGCACAGGTCAGAAGAGGAATAGCGTCAGCGAACATGGTTTTCGTCGCTCGCATGCGCGGACGCCCTCTCCATCGGAGGGTACCTCGCAGAAGAAGAAGCGCCAAAAGACGATCAAAGGAAGTGGTGATGCTGCTCAGGTACCGTCCGCCGCAGCGTACAACTCGCAACCCTACAACGAGAGCCGAAGATCGAGCTTAGGCCTCGACTCTTTGGCCAGTGCAGCCTCGCTCGATGCGCAAGCTCTTGCACTGGCTGGCAGAGAATCCGAAGAGATGCCGCCCCCTCCGCCTCCTTCCAAAGCCAAGAGCTCGAGAGCAAAAGCTGCACAATCTCAGCCTTCGAACAACAGCTCTCACAGCGTCTCACCCACCTCACCAGCCTCTGTCGGTAAGGGCAAAAAGGTGGATGGAGAGCAAGAAGGTGCTGCGTCTCGGACTTCTCCGACATCTGCGGGGGAGGACAAGGATAAAAAGTGCGGTAGCTGCGGTGTAGCAAATAGCCCAGAGTGGAGAAAGGGGCCGACTGGCGAAAAGACGGTAAGTGTGGATCGTCAAAAGCGTCAAATGCCTTGTTGAAAAAAAGCTGATTTGTCGCGCTCTCTCTTGCGTGCACCGAACAGCTCTGCAACGCTTGCGGACTTCGATACGCGCGATCCGTCACGCGGCTTCGAAAGAAGGAAGAGAATGCGAGAAAAGCTGCAGAGATGGCTGCCAGCGTCGGCATCTTTCCTCAGCAGCAAGATGCTCATCAGACCTCTCGAGATGATGAACAGCTTTCAAAATCGACGACTTCTCCCATGAGCGGCGGTGCAGCTTCCCCCGCGTAGCTCTTGGCCTCGCCGCATCGACAATTTCCGAGCTGCTCGGGCCGACCGTAGTGCTGCACGTGCCGAAGCATGCACGGAAAACGTACAAATCACATCTCGATCACGCTCCAGCTTGTAGCAACGACACAGGCAACTGCCTTTTCAAGCGAAGATCACATCCTCAGCTGACCTCATTCAATTGTTGCGAGAACGCCTGTCGTGTAGCGTCGAGCCTTGTGGGTTCGGTCAAGCGATGAAAGGTTGACTAACCAAGTGCTACGGATGCAAGCTAGCTGTCGATCGCTGTTCTATGTGAACTTTTGGATGACGACTGCGTTGAGAAGATTGGCGTCTTTCAAAGTCACACTTTCATCTTCGATCGGCTTGGGCGGGAAAGACGTCTGCAACACGTAAGATCTGGCTGCCATGCCGGCAGAGGATCTGACGGGTGGAAGCTTCAGCGTCAGCCGCTGCTTGTAGGCGATACGTCCGTCGACACGATCGCCCGTTCGCGACACTTACGCATTGATGTATGCTCGGACATCGGCAACCGTGTGAGTATGATTGAAGCGTCCGGTCAGCCTTTGCCCGTCTCCGAGTCTGATCTGCAACGATGTGGTTGGCTGGGAAGAGTCCACCTGGAACAGTGTGCTCGTAGCAGAAAGTGCATTGTTTCCTGCTGGCTGAGCGGCCGTCGTCGATGCAGTGGCGGTGGAGCTTCCCGGCACGCTGGATCCGATTCCCGTGAATGTTGCAGCTGGACTGCCCAGTCTGTTCCCGGCGCCGCCAAATGGACGCATAGGAGGAGGCGGAGGCGGCGTGTACTTTTCGTCTGTGCGTCTAGCTACTCTAAGCTCTACTCTTTGACCAAATCTCACACCCAGCAAGCTCAATGGTGCGCGTCCAGCGTTGATCTGTGCAAGAGTGTCTGCGTGTTGAGGATCGTCGTAGCGCATCAAGGGACCTTCTTCCACACTAAAGCCATCAGACCAGAACGTCAAGTTGCGCGTCACTGGCTCATCATCATCGTCCTCTTCCTCTTCGTTCCCATCGTCGTTGCCCACGGTCGGAGGCTGTGTGTTTCCAGCTGTCTCGGTGTTGTTATCGCCCGAATCGCCGATGGTCCTGCCTCTGCCTCCAAAGCTACTTTGCGTCTGACCGCCAGTTCGAGGAAGAGTCGGCTGCTCGTCGCCACCTCGCTGAGCGCTAGCTTCAGCCGCCTGTCTCAAAATGTCGCCAACAACGTCAGGAGCTGAGCCCTGTCCTCTTCTTCGCGCGCCGTTGGGATCCTGCACGCTCAATGCGCTCCTTTCACCGCCTGCAAACAGATCCGGTGGTCCGTCGTCCTCATCGTCCGAATCCTGTCCCCTACGAATTCCGCCTAGACCTGGACGACCTGCACCTGAGCTGGCCGAAGAGCCAGCCAGATCCCTCAAGGTTGAGATTCCTCCTCGACCTCCACCTGCACTGAATCCGCCACCGGACTTGGATGCGCCTCCACTGCGCGCAGAGCTACTTCCCCACCCAGCTGGCAAAGGCTCAGCCGGAGCACCAGATAGAGTTCGAGGTCCCGAGCTGGGCGCTGATGCAGATTCCGGGCTCGTAGCCGATGCTGCGTCACAGACGAGATCGGTGAGCACATTCAAGCGCCAAACATCCCATCGCACGCGCTGCTCACCTTCTTGAACCGGGGCTTCGCCAGCGACGGAAGCGTCTGCAGCATCATTGCCGCCAGACTCGTAAAAAGCGCTCACTGCCTGGGTTACGTCTCCTCCTGCAGCTTCCACAAAGAATCTTGGATCATGACGGACGAGTGGAAAAGTTAGACGGCATTCAGGCGGGAAGAATTTGTTCCGAGTGCCTCGCGCAACGCTCACTTTGCTCGGTCAGCATCTGCACCTGTGATGCTGCTGAACTGGGCCAGAGCGTCGTCCATGATGTCGAATGATTTCGAATCGGCGTTGCGTGGCCGTGGCTCCCAAGAGACGAGACGTGGAATTGCAATGCTTGACTGCAGCTGAAATACCTGTGAATCCGGTGCTTGACCCAAACGTACGCCTCGTGGTGTGGTCGTATGCGTAGCGACGTGCTGGTGGTGTGGAGAGTGCAAGGCGACGTCAAAGTTTGGCTCGCCAAAGGATGCTACGGTACAGCACACGAGATCCTGAATTTACAAATTTGTTAGATTTGCGTGAAAGCATGATCAGCTAAAGCAAGCATTACGTCCTTGCGTGTCACAACCACGCAAGCGGGTGGCTCGAGCGTGGCGCAGCGCGGTGGAAAGCGAGGTCATGGGGACAAGACACGTGACTATGAGCTCCTCTCATCTTCTGATTGGCATGCAAAAAACGTCGTACGCGGCAACCATCGCGCGTGGAAGTGCAGCCATCCATCGGCTCTTGTCGCATCACAACCTCCAAGCAGCTTGACTCAAAATTTCACAAAGCTTTTGACGGATCCGTTTCGGATTGCATGCGGGAACACCCTCTGGTACTGGCAGCTTCGCGTTTCAGCACATCTGACGTTCGTGCAACGCATTTTCGATCCGCCGGCCGTCAGCTGCAAAACGACGGGCCTGGGCATTGTAGCTCTCTCCAATCTCACGTCTGAGGGCCACTGAGCTGGCGAGCAACCAGCTACTGGGGCGATTGCATCGGCTTGCGGGCACCGAGCCTCCCAACGACGATGCCGTTCTCAAACTCAATGAGGCGGCAAGTCTGCCACGTCCGCACCATCTCAACATACCGGCTTCTGGGTGCTTCCTCCATTCAGTCTTCAGCCCTAGCGCCTCGAAGTGCGACAGCACACGTCGCCTCTCCTGCAATTCACAATAGCCTGCATACATCGTGCGCCTTGTCAGACAAATTGAAATCGCATAGCGGAGCCAAGAAACGTTTTCGGGCAGTGGGCAAGCAACGAAAAACGGTCGGAAGCGCCCCTTTTCCATTCGCAAGCAGTCCCTACTCCATTCGACTGCAGCGCCAGCAGCATCAAGAACAACAGGATCTACATGCTCTAGCCCATGGCCTGCCAGTTGAGATGCTAGGGAGACGGGCACCGCTTCCTATCAGACGCGTTGTTGGACCCTTGTTCAAGAGGGGATCGGCAGGAAAGAGACACTTGAATGTGGGCATGAGCTCTGGTAGAAAAGTCAGGCTGAGAGGTAATGTCTTGGAAAGAGGAGGAAAGAGGAGTCAGGTGCTTCGTAGAATGCTCGCTGCCAGAATCTAGAGGGGAGCTGGACAAACATCAGGGGAGGAAAGCTACGCGGGGGAAGCAGCACGAAGTTGATCAAACAGTCAGCTGATCTTCGAGGACGTACAGAGGGGGGGTCACATGAATCATCAAGACGGTCGACTTGATGACTCCTTGCCTTGCGAGCGGGCGCCCACCTTGGCATCATTCACAACAGGCACGGCATCAACAAACATCAGAACGTCACGCGTACAGCTCAACTTGGACCACGCAGCACAGGTGACTGGACATGCTCTGTATTCGTACCGAGTCCTGTGCCAGCTCAGTGCGCATTCAGCAAGCGCCATGGCCGTGGCACAATCGATCACCACGCAAAAAGCGTCGCAGCAAAAGCTCGTCTATATCCGCATGAAGTTCGATCGAGACCGTGGTATACGAACAGACAATGGGGCTGCATTCGAGATAGTGTGTCAAGCTAGGGGGCATGAGAACACCTCTGGACAATAGTAGGACGATTGAAGCGCTCGATGCGGCACTTCTTCTGGTAGGTGACGGACTGTGGTGTGCGTCGAAAAGCGCTCATTCCATGCCCAGAGCATGCAGAGCGATGTGCATGCCCTTTGCATCAATGAAGAGAGCCTTGCCATGCTGATAATTTGGTAACACGTGAATGCATTCGGCAGGTACACCTGCTGATCTGAGGTAGTCCACCGATGCCGGAACGTCGAGCAGCCTGTTCGCAGAGCGATGAGCCAGCAGGCCCGTCAGCGCTGCGTTTGCCGAGCCGGAACAGCGTCAACTGTCCTTCGAGCCACTCACATATCGCGCTCGCCAAAGACCAGCTGCACGTTGTCCGGCGTGAGTTTTTCTGGTAGATCATGCACCCACACTTGTGTTGAAAAGGCAAGTGGGAGTCAGCCCGAACGCGGATTGTGCCTAGATGCGCACGATATTCCTCTTCTCGGCCCGTGATCTTGCTGGCGTCTCGCATGACTCACAAAGCATGTCGCTCCAAATGAAGCGCCTGGCAATGGTATGCGCAATCCCCAATTCTCTTGCGACAAAGTAACCCAGCAGCACCTCGACACCAGTGGCCCAAGGCCGTGCGATGAACGCGTAGCAAGTGGCGCCTTCCCAAAGTCTAAAAGATACGGGATCCACAATGACGTGCTTCTTGCAGAGCTCTGGAGCTCCTCTGGCAACCCAGCCTGTGACCATCGTGCCGTTGCTGTGGCTTAGCACTTGGAAAGATTCAATCTTGTGCCGCTTGGCCAGCGCTTTGACAGACGCAATGTGCTGGTCCTTGTTCGGAGCATCCAGATAATGCTTGTGCCAGATATCCGCGCTGATGTTGGGTTGCAGAAGGATATACACTCCGTGCTCATAGCGAGCCAAATACTTTAGGAAAGCGGCATACTGTCCCAATCTGTGTGACAGCCGCACGTGAAGAAGCTGAGGATGAACGGCGTGATACGCCTACGCCTCCGACCTTGCCTTCGCAGCGACTCACCCAATACCCAGACCGTGCAAGAACAGAATCGGCAAAGGCTTGGAGTGCGACTTGCCGTTGACCCCATTGACCCCGTTTGCGGAGTAGGCTTTGCTGACTGCATCCTTCACCAGGAATGCGCAATCGCCGACTTGCTCGTACCTAAAGCCGTGGGAATGACGAAGCCAAGCTTTGGCTGCAGGTGAAGAGCAATGTCAGCATAAAAAGCTCTTCACTCAAGAGCGGACTGTCGAAGCGAAGCTTTTGCCGTAGTATAGCATACAGTCGCGTCCCATGCCCATTTCGCGTTCTCCCAGCAGACTTTGATTCCACTCACTCGCACCCGTAACTCCGTTGCAGACGGCATAGTACCCAAGTGGTCTCGATCGAGTGGCCACAGGGTCGAGGGTTAGCCTCAATGTTTTCATTGAAGTGTTGAATCCCGGCGCGAAAGTATGCTTCAGTCTTGCTTGCACCAAATTGAAAGCTCTCTCAATGATGTATTCCAAGTCCTTGTCGCCTTTGCATTCCTCCAATTCTCGTCCAGCAAAAGCCCAAGCCAGCCATTGTCTGACGTTGTCCGCCTTGATCTCGTTTGGATCTTCAAAGTAGAACCATCGCATCAACCTCTTCCACGCCACTGCTGCTTCTTGATCCGAGACAGTGTGCGTTTCGAACTTGGAATCATCTTGAGCGTGCTTGCCTGCTCCTCGTCGGCGAGGAGGATGAGCGGCCAAGCCGACATCCAAACACTGCACCATCAAATCCTCCAAGGTCTTGTTGTCCACTTTGGGAGGTGGTGTTCTCCGATTGGCTTTGCGGGTGAGCAAAAAGAGATAGATGGAGAAGGGAACTTCCAGGAAAGAGTAGTAGTAGAAGAATTTGCCGATCAGGGGCGAACTGGACGAGGCACCTAGACCCCACGCTAGCCAGTTGGAATGCTTGTCCAGTCCAGTGCATCTTCGATACAGAGCGGCGAGGAGGATGATCCAAGATGTTGGCGTCACACTCCATACCCAGCCTGCCAAGGCCATGGCGGGGTAAAAGTGCCATTTTCGAGGCAAGGTGGCAGGAACGTGCACATGGTCGCTCAAACCTTGAAGATGAGGCGCTACGCCGTTCGGTAAGCGCAGGCTGGATCGCGCAGCCACCTCTGCTCTGGACGACATGGCAAAGTGTCTACCAAATCGCTGGATGAGGTTGCTCCCCAATCTCGAAGTTGGTGTACCAGCAAGCAGAAGGGCAGATTTCGGCCAATGGCTAAAGTTGCAAGTCTCGCGCTGTTGGCGCACAACACATGCTAGGAGGGTGGAGGTAATGAGGTACCGGGCGTGCACACGCTGGAGGGAAAAGCTTTCCCGACGGAAGTTCCCCATCGATGAGCGTTGCCCGCCGAGGCCATGATTGAACAGTTGCGGGCTTCGCGCTCTCTCTTCCTCTCCCTGATGTGAATCGAATCGAATCGAAAGGGCCTGCCTGCTGAATGATTTGTGGATTGGGCCGCTGGCTGATATGCGCAGCGCAATCATGTACCCCACCCCACCAAATGCGGAACTTTTTCGTGTCTGCAGCTGATGCGATGCTTTCCTCGCGTTGCCATAGCGGCAGCGATGCAGCAGCAGCTGAGCGCCCTCCACCAAGCATTCACATGCATTCATTCACGCGACTCACTCACTCAAGCTGAGCCAGTCTGAGTCACGAGTCACGAGTCAGTTGCTTTGCATGCACGAGCATCCTGTTCACAAGCAAGTATCGCTCCAACTCTCTGATGACTGCCGCAGCTCCTCACGCTTTCTCTTCAAAGGACTTGGGGGGGG